TTTTATATTCATATTGCACTTATCAATAGAACTAAATTTATCATGATTGAAATAAATATTATTTCAATAAATTATATAAAGATTTATATAGGATTACAGTTGTGTTCATGTAATTTATATTATATAATATATTTATTTTATTTTTAATATATAGTGAAATTAAAACAGGAGTATAAAACGGGAACCTACTCGGTCGCGGTTTTCAGTCTTTGTTTCTCTTCCTTTTGCCTTGGTTGGGAAGGATTTAGTTTTTTATTTAATAGAACGGTGCTTTGTTTTTTTCATTAATTTTTTAATATTTATTTCAGAGCTTTATGTATTTAATATATCAGTAAAATGATGTACCTAGCACATGATTAATTCGATCGGTAAAAAGATAAAAAAAAAACTTTTGCTAGTTAAGTATAATGTTAATAATATATATATATAGTGAAATAAATAAGTGAAAATTCAGTTGAGCAGAAGTGAATAAAAGATTATGCAAATTAGTAAATGAATAAGTGAAATAAATAAAAATCAGATTATATTGGTAAGAAGAAGAAGAAAAATTAATTTAAGGGTTGTTGCTAGTAATGCAAATATACATGTATATATCAATGGGTTGGTTTAAATGATAAGTAACTTGATATCTTTTAACTAGGTATCGAGTTCAAGTTTTTGTGTATGTACAAAATCTCTGTTGGGATACTCATCTACTAAAGTTAGGTGTACAACTCGATTTGGTCTGGATTTGTGCGAGAAAAGTCTTGGTAACCAGGAAGACAACAAAAAAATATATATATGTATATAAGATTAGGATCCACTTATATAATGTAAAGTTTTTTTTTTAATTTTATATAGATTTAGAATTGTTAGATAAATAACAATAAAATATTAAAATTAACTCTTTATTTTTTTATAAATATCTTCTTACATTCTACTATTAATCTCAACCATTCATTTCTACGCATTTAATTACCCTAAATCTATATACTAATTGCAAGAGAATTATGCAATAGTGAGAAAAACGGTGAAACGCACACTGCACATATGAGTCGAAACTTCTCTAAAACGCTCGATTACATGTGCCCCAAAAGCAGAACCAGATGCTGGTCGGTGTCCCCTAAATTTTACTTGCAAATTCCTCTTAAAAAAACTATCAAAAAGAATATACATCAAGAACCCACAACAGCAAATAGACAATAAAGGGATTGCTTCCATTAATCACTAAATAGGGTTATCGAATTAAGAATCGTTTAAGTAGTAACATTAAAATTGGTGTTAGTGGTTAATTAATTAAATGATAGGTTCATGAGAGTGGTTTTTGAAGGGGTTTTGGAGTTTATCCACAAATGGAAAACTGCCTACTTTCCTCCTCTCTGCATTTTCAAACCAAAGGAATCTTTCACTGTGCTTCGTGTTGACACTGACACCCCCTCCTCCTCTCATATCTTTTTATTTGCCTACTGTTGTTTTCTACAGAGCTTTAACCCCGAATGAATAATTCATTACATGCCACATCAAATCGACGCTTTCTCTATTTAATAATCTAGTTACAGTACGATCGTGGTACTCTTAATTTTTTAACATTTACATCATATTATTAAAAGAACATTGTGTTATATATAACTATTCATTCTTTACCCTACGACTATTGAATTTCTTCGACCAATTAAGTGGTTTTAATAATAAAAAATGTATTATTCTTTTTAGAATTATTGAGTTATATAATTGTATTTGTAGAATACAACACCTTTAAATTTTCTAAATTCATATTTTAACGTAAAATTATACGTGCCCCGAGTACCTCCTAACTTTTTTATTATACCCAACCGTCTTGTGAAAACTGTATTCAACCATTTTTGTATGTTCAAACAGCAATTTGAAATGGACCACTAACTAACTCCATAAAAATCTTCACTACTTCCTAAAACTTTGCTTCTTTTCAAACAGACCAAACGTGTTGCATTTGACATAAATAATCCAACTTCACTCCAATTTTGACTCTCATAAAGATAATCAAACTTCATTTTATATTCACAATGTGCTTTTTATACATATCCATGAAATTTAACACAAGCAATGGAAATATTCATTGAATTCATAGGAACGATGATTATATCCCATGGAATTCATCAACTTTTATGTGAACATGACAATTATTGGAGTAATTTGCCATTTTATTTCTCAAATTTTAGTGATGCGGGGGCGCACCCTTGATGAAATACATGAAATTGAGGAAAGAATAAGATGATAGGCCAATTATTACTTCTCCATGTATCTAGTTTTTGAACATTCATGAATGATATTTTTCACTTTTATTTTTTTTATTAATTTCTATACGTAGTTGTTTGGTTTATGAATTCGACCTAAACCTTTGCTTTTTGCAGGTAGAGGTGTTTCCATTCAACTTGATATGTTGCAGAAAGAGCATTGATGATTGTCAAAAAAGAGTGTACAAAACATGGGTTTATGGCCTTTTTCTGTCTCTTCAACTTGTACTATTTATTACTTTTTTAGGGTTTGTTTATTTTGTACAGACTTCTCTCAAAATAAAGCTTAAATTACAATATTAGTCACCTGATGATTCTCTCTTTTTTACTTTTATCACTTAACTGTATTTTTATGCAAATATGACCACTGATCTTATATTTTTCTATTTTAATAAGTGGTAGTTAAAATTGGCATTGTGAGATGGTTTAATAATAATTTTAGTCCAAAAAATTATATAATTTATCAAGTTGATTCTAATTTAAAATATTTGGGTCAAATTCTAAATTTGTCATCCTCTTTCTTCTTCCAACACTTATCTTTCCCTCCCCTTTTGTTCCATCTTTGTCAATTCATTCAACCAAACAAAGATGAAAATCTGTCAATTTCATTCCTTACAAAGATTTTCCATGTTTCCAAAAAAAAGTAGAAGCTAAATTTCCTTCCTAATTTAACCAAACAAAATTGTATAATAATAATGACACTCTATCTATTCAATCGTTTTGTTGAATTAAAAATAAATTAATTATATTTTTTAATGTAAAAGGTGATTATTAGGTTACTTAGCAAAACCATCACTATTGACATTGTTTTGAGAGGGCTATAATGGTTTCTTTCAGGGGGAAAAAGAATAAAAAATATGGAACATTTTAATTGTTATCTTTTAGATGTGTTTATTAAAGCTATGAAGAGGATAAGGATGAGTCAATGAATTTATTCTTTAAGCAATTTAACATACGCAGGTATTTATCATAAATGATATTTTCTAATCATTGATATTTGATCTATTGATCGATTAATTCGGATTTATATAAACTTATTATGGGATAATTCTCTCAACCCAACTTACTTCATTCACAATGTCATGACTCGAACTTTTAAACTTTCTTAAAGAATTTAATAACCCATCTCAAAATATAACAAATTGTTAGTAATTCTTATTATTTATTTCTTATACAATATATTTGAACTTCAAACTTAATGATTTCGTTTGAATTAAGCATGGAAAATAAGTAAACGAATATATATAGTTTCACTTTAATGTACGAGAGCCTAGAAAATAAGAGAAATGTTTAATTATGCTCCCAGTCTATCGTTTTTAATTATGCAAGATTGGCCTTTTTATAAGTTTGATTTAAAAATAAAACATAATCGATAACACTATTTATAATTTTTTATAAATTTAAGTATGTGATATCTTAATGTTCAAAAGTTTATTAAAAAAACAAATCCAATTGATATGATATATTCAAATTTGTTTATAGAAGTTAACTAAAATGTTATTAATTGGACTTTAATTTTTAAATCAAACAAATTAAGAGATTAAATCATAGAATTAAAAATAAAGTGATTAAATTTAAAAAATGAAAATTATAGGAATTGGGATTTTAAAAATGAGATTCATATTTTAAAAATAGTGGATCAAAATTTGAATCAAACTCCAATTACCAACTAAAATTTAAATTGAGTGAATTGCAACCAAATAAAAATGTTAAGCTTATACAAACAAATAAATTTCCAGTTATGAAGGATGGGATGGTGCAATAAATTGCGGGAAATGGGTCATCTCATTTGCCTCTACCTTTATGCTTTTATCCACAAATATCGCTTCAAAATATATATACATCATATTCACATATATATAACTATACCTACAGTTTTCGTCAGTAATATTCGAAAAGTCCATTCCTCTCTTTAATAACGGGGTAAAATACACAAATGATCTATAATAATAAGATATTATTTTATTGAGTCATTCAGTTATTAAAAGTTATAAAATGATTTCTCGATAATAATATGTTAATTTGTTAAGTATTTTGACTATTAAAAATTACAAAATAATTGCTAGACTACTCATATGTTCTAAACCCGTTCTTTTTTGCTAAAAAATAATGATCGTCTAAGTTAGACATTAACATACAGATCAAGATATGATAAAACCATATTTCAATGATGTCTAATGGCACCGTTATTGCTTTCAAACACCGGCTCGACAACATAGTATTTTAAGCATTGATCGATGATATAATATAAACGAAAAATCGATCTACAAAATACATCTCAAATAATTATAGAATCAAATTTTATCATATCTCTATCAATAAGTTTACATCTAGTTCAAATGACTGCTAATTTTTTTTTTAAAAAAAGTCAAGTTTTGAACATATAAATAGTCAAACTAATTTGTAACTTTAAATGTCAATTGACTCAACAAAACATTGCCTTATAATCAAGGGACCATTTGTGTACTTTACCCTAATAATTATATGAATTTGATAAATAAATAAATAAACTAAGAAAAATAATTTGTAGGAGGTTATTTTTTTCTTCTAAAAAATAAGTTTAAATTTTATATGTTATTTTTACAATAACTAAAGAAAAATATGAAATCCATATTCTAACGGTATCAATTAAATTTAGTATAAATATATACTGAGAATATTTATAAAAATAAAGAAAATAAAAGACTTTTAAACATTTTGAGAAGATCAAAAAAAAAAATTAGGAGTCTATTAACAAATTTTAAAAATCTTGGAGAAGCCATGACCCCTGCTGTCACTCCTAAGTTCTCAATATCCATCATACTCATAATCATAAACTTGGCTGTCAAATTCCGGGTTATAGTCTTCATAATCTTCTTCATCCCCTCCATCATCGTTATATTCATCACCTGCTTTCCCAATTTCTGAACCCTTCTCTTCGTTTTCATCCAAATTTGACTCAAGTTTTTGTTTCTTGGGTTTCTCTGTACCTACCTACGATACCATAGAAATCTTAAGACAAGTTGAAGAAAGATCTTTTTTTTTTTAAATCCTGAGGGAATGATACTCTAATACAAGGAAAAACTTGGAAAAAGTTAACTACATCTGTATCCGACACTACCGAATCCGAATAATATAGGTATTATACCACCCAAATGAGAAAGTATTTGTGTCGCACACAAGTTCTCCTACGTTTGTGTCTTAAGCCTAAAATTTGATCTTAAACATTAAAGCAGACATAATAAATATACCGGGTCATCGAAGAGTTTCTCCAATGCATCGTAGTTTATTTTTGAGCTTAGTCCCTGCACAGAAGCAATATAAGTATCATACATTCAACGCAAAACTTAGGCAATGAGGTTAAACTTTCTGATTTTAATTTGTTCAACCATACCATTGCAACTCAAAAATATAGATAAAACTCTTTTCAGCAAAATCTTATGTAAATGGGATTTCCTAAAAAAAATCATGACCTCGATTTTAGGATTGACTAATATGTAAAATTCACAGAATAAAGAATACGACCACCTGGAGAGAGAGTTTCATTAACCTGATATTAATTTAGATAAAATTCCGGTGGCTTAATTACTATAAGACTACAGTGTTGCCATTTTGAAGGCAGTGCAGTTTTATCGTAAAAACAAATCTCAGAACTAAGTTTCACTATTCAGCCTCGTGGTAAAACAAGAAAGAAAAGCTATCTGATACCTTCTTGACCAGCATTCGCCGGGTTGCCTCAGCAGCAGTCTGTGGAGGACCTGCACTTTTTTCTTCAGCAGCCCGCTTTTGTCGTCTCTCCTGGTAATACAACAAAGGCCAACAAAAGAGAGAGAAGTTGAGATACGGGAAAGAACCCTTGAAGCAATATATCTTAAAAGGGTAACTAACATAATCTAAAGAGGGTCATTGTTGGACGTAAAAATAAGATATTGTAGGCATGCTAAAGCTTACAAGTATGCTCATGCGTGTGTGTGCGTAAAGTAAAAAGAGGAGGAAAAAGAAACTTCGAATTAAACAAGAGTGGCAACAGTCAACTGAAACTGAGAACAAAATGAAGTGCATGTGATCAAGCTAATATGCATGGTACATTTGTAGTTTGTTTTGCATTTTTTTTTTTATAGAAGTTGGAGGTCTCATTAAAAACCTCCTTCATAGTTGACCCTTTGGAAAAAAGTCATCCATCGGAAGGAGGAAAAGAGTACCTCATTTTATTAATAACAGAAGCATACATTAGAAACCTTTACAAAATATCAAATACTTAACCAATCCCTGCCTTAGCCAACTTATCTGCTTCCCAATTACTACACCTAGGAATAAACTGCACTACCAAACCCCTGGACAGTACATAAGACTTAATTTCCTTGATTAAATTACTAAAAAACACCGGAGAGAGACTTGGAAAGTTGACCCACTCCACTGCATTCTTGCAGTTAGTTTCCAGAATTAATCTGCCCTTAGAAGCCCAAACAGAGTAGAAAATGTCAACAGCCTTTCTAATAGCTTTCAACTCTGCTAAAGGGGGTGGCCCTGGCCCTGTGCTTTCTGAAAACGTTGCTAAAACGAAACCGTTATGATTTTTGAGGATACCCCCAATGCCGCCCGCCATCCCATCCTTTTTCACTGCACCATCGACATTAAATTTAAAGAAATCAACTGGTCTGGACAGACCTATTAGTAGCGTGAAGACCCTTGAAACCATCTGCTAAAGTAGGGTCAGATATTAACAAGTCCACCGGAATCTGCACTTGATGGAACTTTGCTAGAAACCATTTAACTAGCCTGAACTTTACGATGAAGAAAAGTGAAAGTCTGTCCATAACCTTGTTATCGAAAACAATAGAATTTCGATAATTCCATATCGACCAAAGAACCACTGCTGGAACTAATTTCCAGATAAGTGAATTAGCCACCAAATCAGGCCAAGAACTGAGAAGAGTAGAAATATCCCCAGGCAAAACTGTGCTAACGTGCCACAGACTGAGAAACTTATACCAAACCTCATGAGCCACAGGGCAGACAATAAACAAATGTTGAACCGTTTCTCCACTTAATAAACACATCGGACAAAACTCCCAATCTGATAACGGGATCCCCCTGTTCTTCAGCTGGGACTTAACTGCCATTTTTTGATGAGTAATTTGCCAAAGAAAGGATTCTATTCTAGGAGGGACCAAACCTGTCCATACACACTTATTCCAAAGAGGATTACCCACTTGTCCTTTACCAATAGTCCTACAAGAGCCGACAGTAAACAAACCATCGCCCTTCCCTGTCCATGATAAAAAATCATCCACTTCCTCTGTCAACTGAAAGTTGTTTAATTTGATCATTAGTTCCAGCCATTGCTCCAACTCCCAATCACTTAAATTTCTTCTTGTACGGATATCCCAAGTCCATCCGTTCGAATCATAACTTCCAAAATCACTAACCCGTCCCGATTGATTCGTTGACAACACAAAAATTCTCGGAAACTGAATTTTCAGCGGTGAAAAATCAACCCAAACATCATTCCAAAAAGAAATTGACTTGCCATTCCCCACTTGGATTCTAGAATGAGATCTAAGCCTCTCACCAATTGCATCATTCTTCATAAAACTACTAACAATTCCTTTCCAAATCCAAGAGTCTTGTGTTGAATACGCACTACTAACCGACATCGACATACTATCGATGTTATGTTTACAACAAATCAAATACTTCCACAAAGTACCCTTTTCATTAGGAAATTTTCAAATCCATTTCCCTAGCAGAGCTCGATTAGTAAGATTTAAATCTAAAACCCCCAAGCCTCCTTCATCTCTAGGACTGCACACTGTTTGCCAATTCACCCAATGAATAGACTTCTTCTCTAAACCGCCCCCCATAGAAAACCAGCCATCAACGAATTCAGTTTCTGACTGACTTTATTCGGAAGTAACAGAGCATGAATGGTGGCTTGCATTTTTCTAAAATATAATCTTCAGAAATCAGCAAACTTCCATACTTTTCTTAATATCCAAGAATCACCTTTCTAGATTTTGCCACTACTTCTGCAGCAGCTGCGGCAAGCTCCTGTGCAGCTTGGAGGTCCTCTGGGCATTTATCATACTTGGCCATTAAAGCCTCCTTAGCAGCTTCTATGGCTGCTTCCTTGGCTGCTTGTTCCTGCAAAGATTGCAGCATGATTAAGCTCCTGTAATATATAGTATGAGATTCTAGATAAATTCTTCAAAGCAAAGTTTATTTGCATTCTTTACTAACGTTCTAACTAACAAAAGGCATCGGGACGCAAATTAGTTACATCAAACAATTTCACTGGAATTGGGGCTCAATTTAACCATATGATAAGAATATGAGAAAACCCATCTAAAAGTCCGTCTCTTCAGCACTCAATTATATTTACTAAATGTTTCTTCATGCTCATAGTTGAGGACACGCCAATGCAGGAATATTGCGCTTAAAGTGTGATATTAGACTAGAGTAAGCCAAAATAATGTTGTACTCAACAAAGTCATGTTTCAAATCACCTCAAGATATTCCCGGTTCATTTCTTCCCAAATGATCTTTTTGAAATGCTTCTCCTCCTCGTTGTGAAGAAGATAACTGTCAACCTGAAAATATAATATTTGAGTAATTCCCCAGTGTAATAAGAAAATGTTATCAAAGTAAACAACGGATAGTGCTGTTCCATACACATAAACACATAAAATCAACCAACACTTTCTAAAATAAGTTTAAACACAATGCGTGCAGCTCAAACAATAAACATGCACTTAACTATACTATTATTTAAGTTTTTGACTGAGTTGGTGTCACCGATTAACTGGGTACCAACTCAATTGTGAGAAGACTGAAAAGCCATCTTCTTAAATGAGATAATTAATATTGTCATAATAGTGTTTTTGGTTTTTTTCATATATTCTAATGTATTTTTTTAAATAAAACAACCAAAATCATCATTAAAGATTGAATACACAACTAATAGATCACACGCAAATTGTTTACCCTTTCACCTTTAACTATTCGTTGAATAAGCTTTTATAAAAGTTTTTATATAATTTTTAAATGCGTGCATGCATAATAAATATAAAGCACGTTTAACAGTCATGAACAATATTGTAGAGAAAGGTATATAGTAAAGAATTTTATATAACTAAATTTCAGGTCAGCTTGGTTGATTCTGTACCAGACCAACCAAACGCACTTCCTAAAAAAGCTATGAAGAATCAAACACTAAATACTGAAGAATAGACCTGAACAATAAGCTTAATTTAGGTAAATTTTAGTCAATTCTTCAACATTTTTTTCCTTCAATTGACGATTTTGTATTTCTGAAGACTTAAGTCCACACGGATCACATACATTATATAGACCCAGAGCAGCTCAGAAGAAAATATAACAATAGTGATGTTGATTACATGTGACACACAACCGACCATATGTTTAGCATTAGTTTGGCAGCAATGATTGAAAGCTGAATTTAAGCCCAACTGACTTCAACAACTCATGGGTACACATCTTAGATGGTTTATTGATGCAGGGCAAAGCAAAACAAGTTAAGCTTGTCAAAGCTCAAGAATCTTGATAATAATGTATCTACTTGATTCTAACTACACCTTAACAATTCTGTTAGACTAGGAAATATAACCAAAGTAATTGGTAGCACTTTTGTAGTTGAGCTTAAGCTCGTAGTATTTTGTTTGTTGAAGTTCATATGGACATTGCAATGACAAAATACAAGAAAGCAGACTTATTCCCTACCTCAAAATCATCAATATCAGAAAAGTTATCCGATCCATCATCACTACCATCAACTCCAGGTAATTTATTATTGTCACAGTCATCAATGGCTGCCTTGTTAGTTGCATCCTCTAAAATCCCTGAAACAATACCTTCTCTAATTAAAAAACTTGGGCATTTAGATCAAAGTGTCCAATTATTAAACCATGTAAAGCATGATTAATCGTGAGTTTTAAACTTACCAATATTTTGAGCTTTTTCAGATCCACTCTCGATGGTGCTGTTAGATACGCTCTGTAATTATCAAGAATAACCAAAACAAATGAAACCCCATGATAAAAAATGACGGTTAAAACAATGTTGAAGAAAACGTTATAACTAAGTAAACTAAAAAGATCCAATAGCAGAAAAAATATTCATGCATCCAGTCACAAGAATTTGAGACTGGTTAATCTCTCATAATTAAGCAGCATACCATAGATAAATTCCTAATTTTTTTTTTGATAAGAATTTCAGGCCTCGTTAAAAACCCCCTTCTTGATTAATGGAGCTTATAGAACTCCTTAATCAGCGGAAGGAGGAAAAGAGTGCCTTAGGATTTTATTGAACCATAAATTTACATAAGATACAACCATTATACACCCCACCAACCAAAAACTCGAAACAACCATAAAACAACGTAACTATAAATATAGAATCAACCAATTCCTTCTTTAGCTAAGGCATCGGCTTCTATGTTGGCTGTCCTGCTAACCCATCTAACCAGCCCTCCGAACTCTATAAGCCTGTGAACAATGTCTCTAACCAATATTGCATAAACATCAGGACAAAAAACAACCCCCTTAATCCAGTCCACTACGATTTTGCTGTCACTTTCAAAATCAACCGGTCCTGAAGTCTATCTCGAAAATTCGCAAAGAATATTAGCCCTTTATGAATAGCTTTTAACTCCATATAAGTAGGAGGCCCCGTACCAGCAAGCTCCTTGAAAGACCCTAAGGTATGTCCAGAAGAATCTTTTAAAACTCCTCCTAACCCGCTCTTCTTCCAATCCTTAGTCGTAGCTGCGTCAACATTAATTTTCACAAAACCCTTAGGAGGGGGATGCCAAGGAATAATAGACTTAATCCTATTAGGTTGAAAGTAACAACAGTCCCCTAAGGAGGGGTCTGAAATAAGAGAGTCTTTTGGAATACACACCCCTTTATTTTTTGCTAAAAACCATGAAGCAAGCCTAAATCTTGCTAAGAAAAAGAACTCAACCTCATCCAACTTCCCTCCTTCAAAAACAATTAAGTTCCTCAATTTCCATGTAGTCCACATAACCACCCCTGGAATGAGATACCAAATCTTTGAATTAGTCCTCAAAGCATCCCAAGCCAGGAGAAAAGATTTTGCATTAGAATGGAAGACAGTCTTAATTCTCCAAAAGTTAAGAAATTTGTTCCAAACAGACCACACCACCGCACAAGAGAAAAACAAATGCGTTGGAGACTCTTACTACACCATACAAAGAGGACACAACAGGTTTTGAATTCCTGAAACCCCTCTTTTCACCAGTTCAGTTTTAACAGTCAATCTCCCTAGAACAACCTGCCACATAAAGGATTCAACTTTTGGTGGCAACTGGCCCTTTCAAACAATCTTATTCCAAAAGTAAGCCTCCTCCGAACCCAGAGAACCGAATGAACAAAGCTTGACAGCCGACTTAACAGTGAACAGTCCATCACCGATCCCTTTCCAAATCATTCCATCCGAGCTATCCATAGATGAAGCAAAAGACGAGATAACAGTCATCAGATTAGCCCACTGCTCAATCTCCCAATCATTTAAATTTCTGCGAAATTGCACTTCCCAACTCCATCCAGTAGAGCTATACTCCCCAAATTCAACCAATTTTCCTGTCTTGTTGATGGAAATGGAAAACAGCCTAGGAAAGATAATCAAAAGAGGGTAATCCAGAGCCCAAAGGTCCTGCCAAAACCGAATACATTTGCCATCTCCAACTAAACTAGAACACAAACTTCTCAGCTTAAAGCCGACAGGGTCCTCTTTAAAGTGATTAGAAACCATTGATCTCCACAACCAAGAAACTTTGTTTGGAGATTTATTTTCAAACATTAACAAAGAGGGATCAAGATTATATTTAGAACAAATGAAATCCCTCCAAACAGATCCCCTCTCGTTTGCATACCTCCAAGACCATTTTTCTAGAAGCACTCTATTCATCAAGTTCAGATTCATCACACCCAAACCCCCCCTCCATCTTAGATTTGCAAACATTCGACCAACTAACCCAATGGATCTTACTTTTATCAACTCCACCTCCCCATAAAAAATTTGACATCATTGAATTGAGGATTTTTAGAACCGAAACTGGTATCTTAAAAAGAGATCAATAATAAATAGGGAGCGAACATAAAACCGATTTAATAAGAACCAATCTCCCCGCTAAAGAAAGAGACGCTGCCTTCCAACCAGTTAACTTTTTGGAAAAATTACTGATCACTGGATTCCAAATAGCAGCAGAATTCCTAGAAGCCCCCAAAGGAAGTCCTAGGTTGTCAGAGGGAAAGCTACCAACTGAACAACCAATACTGTGAGCCCACTCATGCACAACCTCATCATTTAAATTCACACCAAACATTTTACATTTCTTCATATTTAGTTGTAGTCCTAACATAACTTGAAACACTCTAAGCACCCTTTTCACATTTAGGATTTGCGTTTCCGAAGCACCACTAAAAATAATGAGATCATCCGCAAATTGTAAATGAGATAACTTAAAAGACCCCTCATCCCTCCCTATAATAAGACCAGAAAACAGCCCCTGAGAAACTGCCTTTAAGATCAATAAATTGAGTAATTCGCCAATAAAATTAAACAACATAGGAGATAAAGGACATCCCTGTCTAAGACCCTTCGCCATAGGAATTTCCTCAGTAGGAACTCCATTAACAAGAACAGAAACTGAGGCCGTAGTAACACATCTTCTAATCCAATTTATCCATCTTGAACTGAATCCCATCTTCTCCATAACTAGAAACAGGATGTTCCAATCCACCGAATCATAAGCTTTTTTAAAATCAGCTTTGAACACAGCCTTGAAGCCCATTTTTCCTCAAAAAGTCGATTCCTTCATTGGCAATTAAAGAGCAATCTAAGATTTGTCGGCCTGGTATAAAAGCGAATTGGGTAGGACTGATTATGTCCGAAATACAACTCCTCAGCCTCCTCGAAAGACACTTAGAAAGAATCTTATATAATCCACCAATTAAGCTAATGGGTCTAAAATCATCAAGGTCACCACTATTAGATACCTTAGGGATAAGAGTAATAAAGGTATGATTAATACCATGTTCCCACTCTTTCCCCAAATAGAAGTTATTGAAGAACTTCAAGACATCTCCCTTAATCACATTCCAAAATCTCTTAAAGAAACCTATATTTAGACCATCTGGCCCAGGAGCTTTATTCCCATTACAAGACTCTAAAGACTCTCAGATTTCCTCCTCAGAGAATTCTTTCTCTAATCTCAAGCTCTGCTCAAGAGTAATACTGGAAAAATCCAGCCCTATGTCTTCCACCTGTAAAGTAAACTGATCATTGAAAGCCTTGAAAAAGTACTCTCTTACTGTTGACTTAATCACATTCGGATCATGAACAAAGCTGCCATTGACAAGTAGCGCATTCAAGGCATTTCTTTTCCTCCTAATAGAAGCACAAGTATGAAAATATCTTGTGTTTCTGTCCCCATCTTCAACCCACTTCGATCTTGATTTTTGAAACCAAATCTGCTCCTCTATCTTATACAGCCTCCACAATTCTGATCTCAACACCCTCAACTCATGTTCTGTCTTGGAATTGGAGCCCAGTAGACCATGATGAGCATCCACTTCAAGCTTCTGAATCTTTAATTCAAGATCAGAAATCAAATCCCCAGGAAACTTATCTCTCCTCCCTACCCAATTTTTTATTGCTATTTTGGTATTCTTCAGAATACTGAAAATTCCAGCATTCCTCTGATTTCTCTTACAATCTTGAATTGATGAACTTACCAAATCCTCAAAACCAACTTCATCCATCAAATAATTAAAAAGTTTGAAGGGTTTCTTACCCCAGTTTACCCCACCATTTTCAAGCAATACAGCATTATGGTCAGAGATAGACCTAGGCAAAAGATATTGAGCTAACTCTGGAAATGCAATCAAGAAACGATTATCAACCAAGAATCTGTCTAATCTAACGTAGGTTGGGGAATCTTGGTTATTACACCAAGTGAATCGGCCACCATTCAATGGCAAATCGATTAAACCAGTGAAGAGCAGAAATTGACTAAAAATCTCAATTGAATTCCTGTTTTGAGCTCTACCCATCTTTTCATCCTCATGAAGATAAACATTAAGGTCCCCTCCAACACAGATAGGATCACTAAGGCCTCCAATGAACAAGCCTAGCTCTTCAAAAAAGCCTCTTTTCTCCTCCTCAATAGAAGGACCATAGACATTAATAAGACTGCATATGAAATTATTGGCACGAAACCTCCCAGTAATAGCAATGAATCTACTGGATATAAACTGATTTTCCAACTCGAAAGTACTGTCATTCTAGCAACAGAGTAATCCCCCGGAAGCACCAACCGAAGGGGATTCAATAAACCCTTGCAAGTTAATTAAACCACATCTTCTGATAACAGATTTCTGAAACAACTCTAATTTAGTTTCCTGCAGCCACAAAAATTGGGGGCAACGAGTATACACAACTCTCTGCACTGCCCTTTGCTTCTCTTTTCTACCCAAACCTCTGACATTCCAAGACACAATAACAAGCTTTAACTTCATCATAATAAATCGTAAACATACTCCTAACTTTCCCAAGAAATCAGCCTCCCCTGAGAAATCAACCTTCCCTAATTACCTCCGATCCATGCTCAAGACTTAATCTTTTTTCAATGAAAGTCTCCTTCTCCTCTTTGAATGAAATGCCTAACAACTGACAAACTTCCCAAGTTGCCAATGCTTCCTCCACCAATTTCGAAAACTGAGGAGAAAAGACAGTAATCACATTAACCAAGTCCACAGCTTCCCTAGTTAAAACTCTCCTCTCCCTTCTGTATTTCCTACCACGCTTTGAAACAGGAGGGAGAATAGACCGGTCCTCAGAAATATTCTTACAGAAGATAGGGACCAAAGATTTTTCCTGATCATTAGCAGAACCAAAGACTTGTACATCCTGTTCAATTCCCCTATTTTCTGAAGCAACCATCTTAATGTTATCTTCAGTAGAGATTTGATTAACTCTTCTCTCCCTTCTTTTCGATCTTCCTGATCCTACAACAGAGATAGGAACTACTGACACATTCTCTCCCATATTTTCTGAAGTGAGCTGCAGAACATCATCCTTTCTACCATGAATTCCTTTGTGTTCATTCTCAAACCAGTTATTTCTCACCCTAGATCTGCTATAAAATCTTCTATAGCTGGCCATTCTCCTTCTCTCTAAGGGCACACTTTTAGAAGAAAGTAATCTTCTATGCTGAATCAACGTTCTGCCTCTTGAATGCAAGGATTCTTGATTAGGAGCTGACAACATTAAGTTAGGATTTAAGGGCTCAATTTCTTCACAGTCCTCGAAATTCACTGAATTTCTCTTCTTCTCACAAAAAGAAGAATCACTACCCGCATTGAGCATCACTTGATTGACATCCTTAACCATTCTCAACTTCTTTGGAACAGCTCTATTGTTAACTATAGCTTCATCCCTCACTACATCTGTATCTTGCTCTAGAAAATCGAACAAAGGCTGATCCTTTTTTTATTTACTACCCTGGCCCAATTCAGCTTCACAGCAGGGCCTGCTGGGAAAATTTTAGTTATAGGAGAAAGAGACTCCCCATTTGAATCAGAATGGGCTTGGATACTCTGGTCCACAGCCTCTCGCAGCCCAATTCCTGCATAATCCCCACAATAGTTTAAATCAAATTCAAATTTGTCTGACACCCCATTATTATTGGGCAGAGTGACAGACTTCTTTTTCAAATAATGTTCCCCATCTTCTTCTGACATCCTCCTTTCTAGACTGGTCTGAAGCCACGTTTCTACCTTTGACCGAAATCCTTCTTCTGAATTTTCCCTGTTGTCTTCTTCCTTCTCTAAGTTTCTACCATCGTCCCCCTTTGACACATCGTTATTGCAACTGTTATATGAAAAATTCTGCCTCACGACTCCAAAATCTTCAGAGTTAGGATTACAACTGGTACCCACAGATAAATTCCTAATTATTAAGTGTTTAAACTGAAAAGCATGACAGCACCAAATTAAAAGATAAGTTAGCACATGAGGAAGGGAAAGAGAGACATTGTAAGTGAATAATTTTTGCATGGTCGTGTAAATCCGGAAATTCAAAATAAATGAAGCAATTACAATTTGGATTATCAACCTTTCAATGTCCTTAAACCTTTAGAGAGGTATAGTTACAGAACTTACATTAGAATTTTCCTCTACAGATAATTTTGCAAGTCTCTCTTTCTCAGCACGTTGGAATGCAGGTGGATCTGATCCCCCTTCAAGCCCTCCTGAAACCTTCATGAACTGCATCAACCAGTAACAGCATGAACTCCAGCTTCAATGATAAAACAATTCCCAGTGGTAAAATTGTAGAGCGCAAAGAAAGATAAGAAAGCCTAATAAATGTCAAAAACAACACGTGTGCTTACCTCTTCATAACATTCATTACAAAGTCCATAGGCAAAAGATTTTCTCTCCGTATGCCTACACAGAACTTCATCTAAGCTTGTTTCTTTTGACCCAGTATTTGGCTGTTTTATAGTTAATGAACTATTTCGAAGCTCCCTCTCCTTTTCCGTAAACTCCTCCATCTGGTCCCAAGTTTATAACAATGGAGAGTATTTTACATAAAATTAGTTAGATAGTCTGTAGAGTGGATACAAACAACAGTATAACAGTAAAAAAATTAATAATCAAATTCTACCGTAAGGATTATAATAATAGCACTGACACAAGTAACAATTACAACAACAACAAAGCTTTTTTTTTCCCTCACAAGATGCTGCAAACCATTTAAATCCGATCACACAATCATTATCTACTTAGGGCCCTAAGCAGATAGGAAGCCACATCAACATCAAAAGGAAAAAAAAAATTAAAAAAAAATTATCCTAACTATCATAAATATCAACTAGGTAGAATATGGTTCTTTATTTCATAGTTACTATTAATTTACACCTTATTCCATTACCAGTTTCCTGGCACAATGTAATTCTTCTAGATTACCATGAACAAGTTGAAAGATACACACCGTTAAGGCTCCAGCGTCGGTATTCTCAAATTCAATCAACCGCTTTGACAATGTTGCTTCACAAATGTGAACAACCTCTATCTGATAAACATAGACCTTAATTAACCAAATAATTTTAGAGAGAGAAAGCGAGGATAATAAGAAAAAGGGGGGAAACAATAATAAACATGAATCTAAACAAAGAAGAAATTGGAACTTGGAAAATGATGGAAAATCTCATATAAGAATAAAACTACAAAACCTGCCCATAATAATAGTAATAATATCAATTAAACTGGAAAAAACGAAAAATCATTATCTAGCAGATGCTAAATGGAAACATCAAGCATTTTTTTAATATCTTTAGTATTTGTTAGTCACACCCCAAAATTTCGGGTAAAAATATTAGAAATTCAATAAATTAATTAAATGGGTTAAATTGAATTTTTATTAATGATTTTAGGTTAAAATGTAAATCAAAGATTTTTCAGGGACTAGCCCCGTAATTTTCCTATAACCAAAAAAATCATCTGACACAAAAATAAAATAAAATGGTGGGCGGGAGACTTAAACATGTGACCCAAGGGTTATGGCCACTAGGCTATGCTTTTGTTAGTGTTTTTATTTAATAAAAATATATATTATTTATTTTGGCTCGGGATATACCTAAAACCAAAATCACATACCCCCATTCGTGAAACCCAAAATCAAACCCCTCGGTCCTCAAGCTTTCCCCCGTCGATCCACCCCGCTCCGACCGCCGTTATTGTGCCCTGCCGCCATCATAACCAGCTTTCTCCAGCTACTCAACCCCAACCCTCAACTCACCCAATTGGTCACCGATCGTCGCAAAACGAGGGGGGAAACTCATTTGTCGCCCCTCATCGTCGCTCCCTGCTCCGACTGGCGGTACAGGTCACCACCACCTCCAATTGAAGCGCCAGGCCACCGCGAAGCAACCCAGCCAACCACCGACGCTAAATGCCCGTCGTTCGTCGTGGATGAGCGTTTAAAGTTTCGTCGAAACCCCCCGTCACCTCGGTTAATTGCGATTTCATGCTGCCATCGTCATCCGTTTGCCTCACCGCCGGCGTGGTTGGACTCCTCATTGTCGTCCACTCGAAACCCAACCTTTGGGTCGTAACTTTTTCATCGGTTTCTCCGTCGCCGGTGTGGGTAAGCTCGGATTTAATTTTCGGTTAATTTTTCTCTCGATTTTGCTTGATTATTGGTTGTGTTTGAGTTGTTTGAAGACTAAGTTGCACCCAGAGTACTCAGCCGACCGACCCGACCCCTTTCCACTGTCTCATGCTCCAGCAACATGCGTGGGACTCCTTCTCCAGCTATGGCTCTTTCTAGAAATGGTCCAAGTGGACCGAACCGACCCAACCCGGTTTGAACCGGGTCTGTTTGACTCGACCTTAGTCAACCCGAACGAGTCTGAACCGTTGACTTTGACCCAGACCCGTTTACTTTGACCGTTGACTTTAACTCAGTTTGACCGTTACTTTGACAAAAAAGTCAAAATTTCTGAAAAGTCATATTTATGTTTTTCGACGTCCTGAGTCCGAATCCGAAGTCCGTTTTTCCAAATTCGAACCTAAAAACCTCCAAATTGTCCCGTTAAACCTGAATATGCATATATAATTTAAGTGATTTATTTAAGTGCATCTAATTTGAGGGTCAAGGACTAAATTATTATGTCGTTTAATTAAGGTACCCGTGATTCTCCCAATCGTTCGTCTTCTTGGCCCGGTTCCTCCTGACCCGCTTGTCTGCAAGAGCCCGTGATTACTCGTATAGTTCTGCAATCCTGTTAAATACTCAGTTTAGCGTACTACTCCGATAATAATTTTGTTCTGATATGACTTAGGTTCTCATACAGTCGAAGAGCGTAGTGAAGCTGGTGCTCGATAAATCTACCGGACTGATTCTTTTTGCGATGTGTGTTTCTTGTGTGATATATATATATATATATATGTTTGAAATATCATGTTCACATGACTGTTTTACCTGAATTGCAATATGGCTAGCTGATCTGATTTAATTTCACATGATTTATCTGTTTCAAGCATGATTTCTGATTTGCTGAAGTTTTAAGCATGCTTGTCTGATTCATGTTCTCTAGTTACTGCTTTTATTGAATTGATATCTTTCTGAAATCTGTTTTCCTGTTACTACTGTTTACTGTCTAAAAACTATTTTCCTTCGGAGTACTCTGAGATCTGGTATGAAGTCTCTACAGGTTCAGCTCCGATCAAGCTGGTAATTCCTCATGTAGGTTTATCACTGATCAAGTTGGTAATTTCTTATGAACCTAAGGCGACCCTTGGGTGGGCTCCTGGGCCCAATGGGCCTAGCGGTAAGACCTTATGGACCCTAAGATACTCCTTTAGGGTGACTCCTCTGCTATGTGCATTGGGTAAGTCCTTATGGGCCTGAGGGCACACCCCTCAGGTGGGCACCTATGCTTCAACTAGGGTAAGCCCTTATGGATCCAAGGTGTTCCCTTAGGTTGGCACCTACGCTCTTTGGGCCTAGGGTAAGTCCTTACGGATGTGGTTCTTGGGGAACTGCGTATGGCGTTTGGTTGGAGGGTTGTTCTGTATTTTAAACTACAACTCTACTATCGTTTTCATAACTTTGATAATGAACCGATTTTGAAACTTAACTGTATGATTTTATTTTGTACTGTTGGAACACATTGAGCTCCCTAGCTCACTCCCCCAAACTTTCCCCTTTCAAATACTTTTTATAGGCGACATGGACCTGACACTTAGAGGATCACCACATCAGTACAATATTATTTTGTTGTAATGTTTTTATCTTCCGATTTGCCATTATGTTGGGTGACATGTGCCTATTTATTTTGAAATACTTGCCTTGCGACATATATTGCTTTTGCGACTGATGTTAGAATTTCATTGATACTGATTGGTGAAAGATTTTTGTTTTATTCAGAGATATTTATGGTTTTATATATATTACTCGAATTAGAATTTATTATTAATAATCATGTTTTTAAAAGGTGTTTATTCATAATATGAATTTAAATTATCGAATAATGTTTTGGAAAATTTTACTATAATTCACTAGATCTGATAGGCCGGGTCTAGGGGTTATAGTTATGGCTTAAGACTGCTGTGAATTTCTTTTACTATTGCAGTGAGGCATCTAAAAGACTAAAATTATCCCTACTACTCTAGCTTGGGTGAAGACATGAACCTAGTCCAAAACCACGTAATATAAGTTAGGACCTTATATAGCATGTGTTTCTTCTGGCACAATCATGACATGGCTGAAAGTTAAAACATCTACTGAATTGCAAGCCCTACTCATAAATTTAAAATTGCAAGCCCTACTCATAAATTTAAAATTGCAAAGTTCGTCAGCCAGATAATAAAAGTAGGTATACAATTAAAACACCTATAATTATTGAAGAAGCCAATAAACAAAGAAGTAAGAAAACAACTTACAATTTTTGACTTAGAAACCTTCAAACCATGTGAAAGAGCAGAAATGTATAGCGCTGCACCACATAATCCACTGGGTTTTCTCCCTGTCTGCAAATTTGTGTTACAGTAAGATTTTAACTCTAAAAATTACCCAGTAATACTCAGAATTAAAATAAAGTGCTTTGAATAAAATCATACCTGCATCCAGTCCCGTTTCATGCTAGCTAAAATGTCTCGTGCAGTTTTAACAACTGCATCATTCCCTTCTGGAATCAAAGCTGCAAAGCATGTTGGTTATTATGCATGTCTGAGTTCAAAGCAGTGAAAGCTCAAACACTGGGATCATATAATCAACTAAAGAATCTCAAGGTCTGGAAATTGATTAAGCAACTTACTATTTGTAAATTTATGAATAAAAATTGAAGGATCAACTAGTTTCGGAAGATCTTTTGTGTCAGCAAGGTAGAGCACATAACAAAGCTGCAGATATACAGAGCCAAGCTCATAACTGAAGAAGAAACAACAAAACTTGATCAAAACAAAAAAGAAACAGGTCACACAAAAACAGAGATAGAAAGGATTATCAAGCTAATTATTTTTTTACGAGGGGTAAAAAGGAGGAAATTCCTTACACGTTTACACTTATAGAATTTGAAAAATCAATAAGGAGGAACGGCTTTCTCTTTTGCCTGCATTCCAGAAATTACATGGTTAAGGAGGGAAATAGTTCAACAATTCAAGAAACAAAAAAGAGATATAAAGGAAAGAAAATCAAGACGGCAAATGATTCGAGTATGGCATTAATATATACATGTGATACAACATTTAACCACCATAAAAATGATGGAATAAAACACATTTTTGTTACAATAAAGTACATTCAAATGTATGCACCTTACAGACTATAGTTTAAAATAACACTGTATCATATTGTTCATGATAGCTCTCTCTTTTTGTCTTCCTCTATTCCTCTCCCTCCTCTATTGCACTCTTTCCTGACTATCATACAGTGCATGATTTATATATTTCTGCATTGGTCTAATTTTCAAGAAAGGGTGGAGCTAATTTGAATTTGATGCAGCTCTCAAAAACACAGCATGAACCTTTGGGGTTTTTTAAGTAGTGAACCACAAGCTGAAAGAGACCACATCCCAACATTTTCTATCCAAATTCCAAACCAGCAATAGTTTTCAGCATTCAAACCCTAGCTGCAAATACATTTCACTTGACCAATATCAACATCTAAAATACAAGCCTTACGCTCCTTCCTACTGCAAGAAATCCTAGCCAACGAAAAACCTTTACAAATTATGTCATTACCCTCCTTTTCCTTAAGCCTAATTTACACAAATTCCATGACCAAAAGCATATATAATGACATGATAAACTAAAGGCATAAATCCATCCCAAAGAAAATAACATATGCATATCATACTAGAAGATGAAGAAAAGGGTCATAGGTTATTGTGTTGCAGAAGGAAAAGTAGAGAATACCACACAAATTTCCAAAGGATTTGAAAGAATACAAGATAAATAATCTACTTGGTATTTTATAAATGAGAACGAGAGGTTTGAAGTAGTAAAAGATAACTACAGTCTAGGCATCTACATGACCCTATATTAGTAATAAAAAAATGCATTGAGTAACAAATTTCAGAAACCAAAAACTAGGCAAAATATGTAAAATACATATCCGATATAACAAGTTACTAGAGTGAAATTTTAGTTTTGCAAATTCTTACACATGTAATCAGTAGACACCTATATGATTGTTTTCTTAAACTGACATGTAAACAGCCGAATCATCACATTTTAAGTTTAGACAACAAACCATGTTCAAGCTCAGGCAATAGCATTTCGATTGTAACCACGTTACAAATGTAAGAAAGAAATATTCCTCACCGACAGGCAAGATAAAGACATGCAGCCTCTACTAGTTCTGATCTGCGCCCCCTAGTGAAATTCCGTTCAAGGCCAATCTTCACAATGCAGATAAAAATAGCTCAAAATATTGAGGAAAAAGACAAAAATGACAAGCATTGAAATGAGACTTAGGCAGAACAAAACATACTTCATAAAAGCGTCTAGCAATTTGAACAACTTCATCACTATAATCGTCAATCTCTAATTGAATCCTCAGACTATTCATATTATCAAAAGCTGTATCACAATGAAATTAAAATCAGAAACAAGATGTTTGTAAGTCAGATTGCAGTAAGCAATTTAATGCTAGCACATTATTAACCATGACAAGAAATTGAAATAACACAAAAAAGTAGAGTTGAGCCTGCAATAAATATATGTTAAACTGTTTTGAAATCAGAGAAACTAGGAAGGGCGAATATGGTGAAATGTATCAGTGATCCTTTATCAAAAGTCAGAAACATATAGCTTCTTGCATAGCATAGATGCTACTTGACAAACCATACCTTTATCCAATGTACGCCTACGTGAATCTGAAATATCTTGGACGGATTTCACAAAATTTCCGGACAATTTGCTCTGGAACAAAGTGAAATCGGTAATAGAAATCAATAGAAATGCGAGTCAAAAACATGAGAGCACAGATCAAGTGATCAAAATAAAGTAAAATAAAAATAAATAAAGGGTGATAAAACTTGAACTTCCCAATTCAACACACTTGTCTCGATTAAAACATATCCGACAATAAGATTAGCAAAGAATGTTTCTTCTTTTGTTTAATAGCATATTCACCCAGCCAAATTCATGGTTAGTAAACTACGAATAGCTGAAAACAATGAATTTTGCAGAAAATTTACGAAACAGTACATATCAACTTGCTTAAACCTATATCACAACTGTTCCGCTAAATTTTATCAGAAAGATTACCTGGCCAGCTGAATCTTTAACGAATTGAGGTTCGGTTGCATAATTGTATTCTTCCAAAACCTTCCCGCAAAAATTACAACACCTACATAAATATATAAAGAAAACAAATAATGAAACAAGAAAATCAAAATTTTCTCCGGAAAAAACAACAGTGATTATGAGCAAGAAAATCACTTACAAAACACCTTCATTGAGGCGTTCTCCAGCAACGTTTCTAGAGCAACTAGAGCAGAAAACCATCCTCCTTATTTACGAATTTTTAAAAAATAGCGCTAATCTTTTTTGCTTCTCACCTTTTCTGAGCAACGAAATAAAGTTTTCAAATGAAATCAAGATAGTAACAATACAAATAATGTACATCAAAAGAGATTAATATTCATAATAATACTTAGAAGAATATATTTAAAACGGAAAAAAATGAAGAAACCGGAGGTTGAGAAGCAGAAGGGAAGTTACTCACTAAGTTAGGAGTCGGGAACAGTTAAGAGATGACGTTAGGACTTAGGGTTAGGGCTTAGGAGGTAGGTAATTTTATTAAGAAAAGGAAATTACTAAAATTTTCAGAATTTTGGAGCAGTTAACGCCGTGGATGTGTGTGTCTTAACTAACTTGGGAGTGGAGGAAAGAAGTTAGTTCTCACTACTTTTTATCTTAATCGGAAGTATCAATTTAAACGCGCTAGGAGATATCGTTTTTAAAGTAATAAAAAAAATCCTAAAGGTTATTTTTGTAATCTACTACTTATTTTTAGTTAAATTATAAAATAGTATATATTGAGGAATTCTATTATGTGACTAAAAAATAACTTGTTGAGTTAATCGATCGACGAAATCGATCAAGAGGGGGTGAATTGACAATTAAAAATTTCGGTGGAAGCTTTTGCAGAAAATTAAAAAGATTTGCACAGCGATTTAGAGTGGTTCGACTTTCTCAACCAAAGTCTACGTCCACTACCTTAGCTATCCACACTAAAGATTTTCCAATAAATTCACTAATTTGTTCTTTCTTTTGAGGCCAAATAGATAACCTTACAACACCCTCAATAATATACCCAATTCTTGAGAACACTATTTCTCAAATAGAAGATTACAAATTTGCAAACTTACAAGAAAATCCTCACAAGGTAAATTGTTTGCACAATTCTAGAACAAAGAAAAGAACACTCAATAATGAATACAATTGAGTACAAGTAGTGTTCTTGAAAGCAAAATGAATATTGAATGAAAAACAGGCTTGAAATGCTCAAACTTGAGGTTTGATGCTTTCTCTTTTATTATCTCTTGATTCTAGTTGCTTGTTGTTTCGTGTTGTTGATCAATGGCTTCTAAGCTTGTTTAAATACACATTCGAATGATTCTGAACGTTGGGGATGGTTAGTGGAGTTAATAGAGTCGTTTAAGTGTGAAAACAATTAATAAATTCAGTTGGGAGCGTCAGTGCATCGATGCATCAGTGTAAAATTCAAATATTTTGATCATTGGACTCTGAGTGCATCGATGCATAAAATGCATTCGATGTTTTGAAAAACCTTAGTGTATCGATGCATGGTCTTGTGCATCGATGCATCAAATGCACTGAGTGCATCGATGCATGGTATGTGCATCGATGCATAAAATGCATTTGATGTTTGAAAAATTAATTGGTGCATCGATGCATGGATTGGTGCATCACTTTGAAAAATTGATTTTAGGCTTGATTTTGCTTCAAAATACTTTGTGAAAATTGTTTCAAAAATAGTTTAAGTATAAAACACAATTTTATACATTTAGTAAGGTTTGAAATTGATCTTGAAAGACTTTGAGTAATAATTTGATATTCAAGTAATTAAATCGAATATATTTAGAAAATCAATTGTGAAATCTTAAAATTTTATTTAATTTGTTATATCGAAACATCAAAATATTTTCAACACAACTTAATCTAAAATATTATAAAAAAAACATAATATTTTAAATTGGACAATTGAAAATCATAATCTAAAATGTTGTTTTTTATAATATTTTAGGTTGCGTACATTTTCATTATTTTTTTAACTTTAAATTAAGTTTTTTTTACTTTTTCGTATTTATTTCAAAATATAGTTTTAACTTTAATAAATATTAGTGATTAGAGATTATTTTTATCATTCTTTCATCTCTTATAAAGATTTTCTTTATTTTTATTAGTGTATGATCATTGATAATACAAAAAATTATAATATTATTTTTTTCAAACAAACAAGATGATTCGATTAATTTAAAAAAATATATTATTGATTTTTTTTTGGCAACCATCCACCTGTACCTTTTCATAAATTTACCCGTTTTATTTCACTTATAAATAAGATTGTTCAACACGTCATCACACATTATTCAGGTGTATGGGTATAAAATTAATATATTAAATTTTACTACATCTGCCACCCTAGGTTTCAAGATGACATGCCATCGATTTCGATCATCCAAAAATTTATAAATAGGAGTTTAAAATTTTAATTTTTTTTTAAAAATAATGGGTGCAAAAAAAAATTTCTTCTATTTTTTTTAACATATTATACTAAATTTTATTTTTTTTTCCTAGATAACGGGATGCACTTACCCCTAGGGGGCTTAGTGCATCCGCCCCTGATTCCGATCAGCTTCTTTTGGCGACTACTGTCACTTTCCGATCATATTATGTAAATTCTGTCCAGCACGGTCTCTGTACTGGTCAGCCTTAGTCACCCTAGGTTTGGCATCTTGATGTGGATCTTCTTTGCCGGCGATTCGTTTAGTATACAGGTATAAATACATTTATAAACGATTGTGCACTGACATGTAATTGACGATTTTAAAACGAAGGCAAACATCGTTAGAAAATGGCACGAATCAAATTACATTGTTGCATTTCTTTTATCATGAACTAAATGACTAGAATAAATGAAATTTCAATGTGTGAATGCTACATATAAAGGCTAAATGAAATTTTCCAAGAAGAGGTAATGAGGCCAACGGCAAATTATTTGGGTCCTAGATGACCTCGGCCACCACATTCCGATTCCGAGCACATATTATTGCCAGTTCCTCCACAACCTGAACATTAACAAATTTTATGCTTCAGTATATCATATTATCCGTCACATAAACATAACAGCAAAACCATACTTAATAAAATGGTCGGACACATGAAACCCAAAGCTTAATCCAATCGATTTATACAACCAACAAAATCTGGGATTAAAACCAAAGCTTAGTCCAATTGATCCATGCTGTCACATTTTCTAAGTCACCTCTTAACCGTTCGATTTGCTAATGTGAAATCATAATGTATTTCACCAAGCACTGAAAATTTTATTCCATGATATTTGCATAGCGTGGCAGCAAGCTGGCGAAGCTTTAAGGTAAGAAATGACCTATAAAGAGGAAATGGTCAAAATAATTTGAATAAACCCTAATCTAATCATTTCATAAAGGATTCTTCCTATAATAAACAGGTTTTAAGGGCTGTATTTGGAACTACATTGGTTTGTCATGCAGAATCAGGTCCATAGTAATGTAAAATCAGTACAGATGTAGGAATTCGACAACATAAAAATGCATATAGGAAAATAAAAATCATTGAAGAAGCATTAACTTTACCTAGACAGCGGACTTTGACAGTGACACCCTGGCTCTCTAATATCGAGTCCACATATAATCCGCAACCAGAGCAAGTGGTACGACACAACCTTTAGCCTGACAACCAGTGCAACGGGGATTATCTCCAACTATTTTTCAGCCAAAGATACCCCAACTGGTTCTTCAATTCGTTCCTCAGGGATAGGTTTATCATAACAAAATAGTGATTCGAGACTGCTTCTTCGTCTGTGTGCATCTCCCACTGCCCTCGACTCTGCCTGTAACATCAAAATTCACCATTTCAAATATACACTCCATAGCCATCTTATTTTGAAGGTGTATCAGAACTGGAATTAGTGAGACAACCCGACTGCACAACTATCTTAACACTACCAGATATTAATATTAACAACTTTGAGAATGAAATATTCACTGTAATTCGAATAGCAGAAAATGAATGAAATTAATATTAACGAAAAAAGTTCCTTTTCATTGTATAGTTTCTGAATTAAGAAAAATAAATGAACACGTCGCAGTTAATATGAATATACATAAAAATTACAAAAGAAAAGGATAAAAGTACAGAAATGTAGCTAAACTAACCTCAGGAGAAGAAAATGAAACAGATCCACTGGAACAAACTGTGCAGATTTTAGAGATCCGGTTGCATCCACTGGATCCGAAACCATAAGAAATTTTGTTATTTTTTTTCAATTTCGGTGTTGAATTCATGGGAAATATTACTGGAGATGAAACTCTAATGGCGGACTCCATTATATCCCAAAATTCAAACAATTAATAATAATCTTATTATTTAGAAAAACACACAAAGTGAATTTCTTTGATGAAAACCGGGGAACTGGAGAAATGGGTTTTTGAATTAGATTAGAAACCTATGAAGAGAGCTCCAAAGAAATCGAAGAATTGAGGGTTTTCTTGGTGCCTCTCGTATCTCGTTAACGATGTTTGGTGGGAAAATGAAATTGGATTTATCCGTTTGTTCTTTCATGGGCCGGGTATCGGGTTAGTTAAAAAACAAAGAGAAATTTGAATAAATAACGAGATGATTTACAAATTTATAAATAACAAAGAGAAAATTAAGCTTTTAAATGGTTCTTCCAGTATTATTAAAAAAATTGTTTAATTTTAGTCAAGTTTATAATACACCAGATAAATAATCATCGACGATCGTATATTTTAATTTTTTTACTATTCATTTTATATATAATTAAACGAAAAATTATTAATTCTTTTATTGTCATTAATTTTTGCCAAACTCTTCATAATTTAGCTAGTACTCATTTTAACGATCGTGTTATGAAGTATTTAACAACGTCAGTCATAATGCTGTCAGTAAAGTAACCAAAAAAGTTTTATGTATAAAGTTTAGTTATTAAATTAAATTTTTTAAAGTATAGTGAGTAAAATAAAAATGATGAGAAAGTTCAGTTATTAAATTTGTTTTTACCCATGAAAAATAGATTTGATAGAGTGAAAATTGATTGTTTGAAGCAAGAGATCTGAAAGATGAGAAAAGAGATGAATTCAAGAAACCATGTTGAAGGATTAAATTAAAGTTTTATTATAATTTAGATGTTGAATTGGATATTAACCCTTTTTGTTAATGTCGTCAAATTGAATGATTATTTTGTGATTTATCAACTTTAGCGACCAAAATTAAACGACCATATGTGTTATACCTTTTTTCTACATAAATAAAACCCTTCTCACCCACTTCCTCATTCTCTTTCCCGCCACTTCCCGTCATCTTTCTTTGTTTCCACTTCACTCGGATCACTGAAAGTAACCATTTTTTTAAAGATGTTGTGGGTTGACAAATACCGACCCAAAACCCTTGACCGAGTTATGGTTCATGAGGAGATTGCCGCGAATCTCAAGAAACTGGTACCCATTTTTTCTTCACTTCAAAATGATTTTTTTTTTTACTTTTGAATGCCTAATTTTTAGTTTTTCAATTTTTGTTTTTAATTTTTTCCGTTTCATGGTTTTGTTTTTATAAAAAAAAATATCTGAACAGGTTGCAGAGCAGGATTGCCCTCATTTACTCTTCTATGGACAATCTGGGTCTGGCAAGAAAACCCTAATTATGGCTCTTCTCAGACAGATCTTCGGTCCTTCTGCTGAAAAGGTCTACTTATTTCTATTTGTTTTCCATTTTTTTCTTTTCACTCTTTGAATCGATTCATAATGTTCTTATTTATAATTTTTAAGTGCGGGAAATATTTAAGTACGGTGTTAATTATTTTTAGTGTTTCACTTATTTAATTTGGGGGCCTAGAAATGTTTTTGGTTTTGAGATTTAAGATGGGTTTTATTTTTTTCAACTAGGTAAGGAAGTTTATTGAGTTGTTTTCTATTGGATTTAATTTTATTTATTTATTTTGGTTTTTGTGCTTAGAAGGATCATTTTGTTTGGTTGGTTGCAGGTGAAAGTGGAGAATAGGAACTGGAAAATTGATGTAAGTTTCAAATGGTGTAATTTTCATATCAAAATTTCATGTAATAGAAATGAAATGTGATTTTCTGCACCATGATAAAATTTTCAATAAAGCTTTCATTGTAAGAATAAGAATTTCTATTGATGACTTGCATAAAAGAGCATTGAGATTGAATGTTTCATGTCCTTTATCCGTCAAAGCTATCTTGGAAGCATTTTTTCCCCATCCTCAATGTTTAAGAGACCTTTGTACTTAATTTTAATTTACCATTATTAACTTTGTATGCAACAATGGAACTTATTTATTTGTTGAGCATTTTTGAATCATTATTGGTTGAATCAATGTATTCCTTCCCCTATATGCTCTTACTAGAATCTCCACTTCTTTCATTTTATTTCAGGCTGGAAGTAGAACCATCGATCTGGAGTTGACCACATTGTCAAGTGCCAACCACGTGGAGTTGAGTCCTAGTGATGCAGGCTTTCAGGACAGATATATAGTTCAAGAGATAATTAAGGAAATGGCTAAAAATAGACCGATTGACACAAAAGGGAAAAGAGGATATAAAGGTAATTTCTTTTACTTACTTTTCGTCCTAGTAAATCTCATTTGGAAGCTTGTCTCATTTAAAATTCAATGTTAACTTATGTCTCCAAAACGGCATTGTATATTCATTTTTAATAATTAGTTTTCCAGAATTAACATTCCTTGCCTGTGCCCTTTAGGTTATTGTGTCTATTTGGTATTACTCTTGATGCCTATTTCAAGTTTATAGGTTTCTATTTCTCTTTAAAATTTAGAGTAACTGCATATAATTTCACTATTTTACTGACATAGTCGTTTATGGAAGTCAGTGCTGATTCTCAATGAAGTTGACAAGCTTTCAAGAGAAGCCCAGCATTCACTTCGAAGAACAATGGAGAAATACAGTGCTTCTTGCCGTCTAATTTTGTGCTGTAATAGTTCTTCAAAAGTCGCTGAGGCAATTCGGTCTCGATGTCTGAATATTCGAGTAAATGCACCTTCCAAAGAACAGGTTGGCAGAGTTTGCTTTTTGTCTTTTATTATTATTAAAATGTGAAAAGATGAATAGATAAATTCCTGGGAATGTTCCTTCAATTTTTTTCCTCAAACCCTTTTGGGGGGTTTCCTTCAACTCAGTCCTTAATGATTTTTATATGCATTTTAGTTTCGTGAAGAATTTTTTTCTTCTCTCAATTTGTCTTCTTACTGGTGAAATAAACTTTATTTCTGTTAAATTCTCTATGTCAGATCATTAAGGTGTTAGAGTTCATTGGAAAGAAAGAAGGATTGCAACTTCCATCTGGTTTTGCAGCCCGCATTGCCAAAAAGTCAAAAAGGAGTTTAAGGAGAGCTATATTGTCGTTTGAGACTTGCCGGGTTCAACAGTTAAGCTCGGTGTTATCATTTATGGATTAATATTGCCATCATGCAAATTGGCAAGAAACTTCCTTACATTTTTTTCTTTTTGTACTGTATAGGTACCCTTTCACAAGCAACCAAGCAATTCCGCCAATGGATTGGGAAGAATATATATCTGAAATAGCAACTGATATAATGAAGGAACAAAGCCCTAAAAGGTTTCCACTGCAGTATCTTACACTATCTTATTATTGCTGCAGTAGTTAATATTTCTTTCAGTTCATTTTAGTGACAAGTTGGTTATGTGATTACTTATGGCAAGTTCCTATAGGAAAGATGTACGGGTAGGATGATTAGAAGTTAATTGAAATGCAAACTGTCGTTTATTTTATGGTATCTTTTTGAGTATCCGTCTTTGTGAACTTCTTATTAAACCTTTTCTTTGTTCTTTAGGTTGTTTCAAGTTCGAGGAAAGGTGTATGAATTGCTTATTAATTGTATTCCTCCTGAGATGATCCTGAAGGTAAATACGGGCCATTTTCATGTTGCACTCTGATACCTCCTCGAATTAAAGTTTACTTGCTTTCTGTCTCAGAGGCTCCTTCATGAGTTATTGAAGAAATTGGATGCAGAGCTAAAACATGAGGTGTGCCATTGGGCCGCATATTATGTAAGTTCAATAGTCAATCCTATTCCAGGCAGTAAGTGTTAACATTCTCTTACCAACATTAAGTTGTGGCTGACTATTGGGTGTTTCATCAAAATAGAAGGGTGGACCGTTGATTCAGATAGCATCTTGCTGTGGATTGGGTTAAGAATTTAGATAGCCGTCCTGGTGTTTTTCTTCTTCTAGTGATAGATATCGCTGTTGATAAGAGTTTTGGAGGGTGCTATCAGAAGGGTTGACTGAACAGCTAATAATAGAAGCTGATAGCTTAGCTTAGGTTGGTATTGGGTAGCTATTGTTGGTTGGATTAGGATGTTGTGGTGTGTTTCGGGTTGTTATTGTATGGGGATTGTTGGTTTAAACTTTTTTGTAATCTTTTACTTATTAATGAATTTTGAGGCACTCTTTTCCTCCTTCCGCTGATTAAGGAACACCGATCGGTGTTATGTTAATCATGAAGGGGGTTTTTAACGAGGCCTCCACTTCCTATAAAAAAAAGTCAACTAGAAATTGACCTTGATTCACAGCTCTATTCTTTGGCCTTTATTTTAGGCGTTTTTCAAAATTTTCTTTCTTTATCACTTTCGAATCCTTTAATGGCGAGTCAGTTGAGAAGATCTGGTGGGAAGAATTGTGCTACAGTTATTATTTTCAATATTCCAGATTGTCTTCGTTATCAAGGTCTTAGGTTATTGTTCGATAAATATGGCGAGGTGGTCGATTCTTTCATCCCTAGCAAAAGAAGCAAGGGAGGTAGTCGGTTCGGTTTTGTCCGATTTTCCAGAGTGGAGGACTCGAGGAGGGTTATCCTCTGTGCCGATAGATCTTGGATTCAAGATAAAAAGGTTAGGGTGTTCATGGCGAGATTTCAACCTCGTGATGTTTTCTAGAGGAAAAAGTATTCTGGTTCAAATTCAGCTGTGGTCAAGAGCAGTGAGGCGGATGTTAAAGGGGCGCCAATTATTGGTGTAGTTGACGAGGATAAGCTCATTACTCTTAGAGATTGTTTGGTTGGTTGGAGTAGAAAATTTTTAAAAATGAAAGAGCTAGCTGCTATTATGCACAAGGAAGGCATATTAGGCCCGAAAATTATGAGGTTAAGTGGTTTAGCTATTTTGATTATATTTGAAGATGAAGAGAGTAGGGACTATACTCTAAAAAATCAGATTGGAGCGTTGAATAAATGCTTTGTCAAAGTGGATCTGTGGTCGGAAAACTTTCAGTGTAGCAGTCGACGGGCATGGTTATCGTGCAGAGGGATCCCTCCGTTTGTGTGGTGCCATTCAACTTTCAGGAACATAGCAGAAAAATGGGGAGCTCTTATCTCCATTGACGAAGGAACCGTTAATCCTGGCTCGTTTGATAGGGCCTGTTTTCAGATCATTACGAACCGCAAAGATCGATTGGAAGAATCCTGTGTTTTGAAAGTTGGTGAACAGTCTTTTACAGTTTTTGTTTCTGAGTTTGAACCTTGCTTTAGCCCAGATTCCGTCTGGATTGATTCGTCTGTGTTGGAAACGTCAGTAGCAGCCCCGTTGCCCACGGAGGGGAGCTTTGTGGTGTCTCGCCGTTTAAGCCTTCCGAGTTGGTGGTAGATGCTGGAACGATTTCTGGAGTTAATCTTGATTCAACTAATATTAAGGAAGTTCAGTTAGAAACTCGAGCGTGTTTTGAAGGCACGCATTCTGGTGGTGGTATGTGTGGTTCGGGTGCCGAGGATGTAGGAAATGGTCCATGTTCCGATGAGGTAAGGGCTGTGGAAGTTGTGTCCCCGACAGTCCGTTACGGTACAGCTGCGCATGGGTCTGATTGCAAGTTGAGCGACACTTTTAATTCTTTGGAGGTAGCTAGGGGGGCGCAAGTGGGGACTAATGTGCATGGGCATAAGCTGCCGTTTTGTGATAACCCGACAAACAGTAATGGGGAAGCTACGCTCGGTTCAGTTGGCCAAAGGAGTGCGGATTTTAATATTTTGAAGGAAGCTAGTGGGGTTCATGTGGGCTCAGGTTTGGAAGTGTGTGATGCTAAAGTTGATAGTGCAATTTCGAAAGATGTGCAGCACATGTCTCTTGCTGTTAGTGGGAGGCGTTTGGCTCCAATTAGGAATGTTGGTTCTCGGCAGACCAAGGTTTTATTAAATAGTAATAGGTTCTTGGAGTTCCCGATTATTAGTTCGGTTAGTGGAACAGTTGTGCACGAGGATATGCCTGCTGGTCAGGGGATGGGGCTGTCGAATTCCGAGAAAGTGGTTGGGCGTCAGAAAAAAACAGCTTTGGAGGAGAGAAATGCTATATTTAGTTCTCTCCGAAATTTTCAAGAAAAATTCTCTGCTCATCAAAGGAAGCCTTGTTAAAGTCAAAGCAAGAAGTCTCAGAGGAAGGTGCATGGAGAGGGAGTTTTTTCTGATCTTGGAGGCTCTATAGTTGGAGTTTTGGATGGTCTTTGTCGACATGTCGAGCTAGAAGAGGCAGTTAGGCAGTAATGCGGAAGAAGAGTCTTGTACTCGTTGAGTGGAAGTTCAGGGCTTTTTGTTTTTGATTTTGGATTTTATGGTTTGAGTCAGCTGTGATATTCGGCTTCTGCTGTAATTGTTTTGTTTTTGTGCTGGTTTTCGGGTAGTTAAGGTGTTAATTCTGGTCAGTCATTTTTGCGACTGTCGGTTTAGCTTAGTTGAATTTCGCTGTGTTAGTGTTGCTGTTTAGGGTTCTTCTGGCTGTTTTGGGTTGTTTGTTTATGTTGGGGGAGGCTTTTCTGGTTGTATCTTATGTTTCCTTTGGTTATGAAATCTTAAGGCACTCTTTTCCTCCTTCCGCTGATTAAGGAGCTTTTCTACAAGCTCTCTTAATCAAGAAGGAGGTTTTTAATGAGGCTTTCAATTCCTATAAAAAAAATTACATTAAAATAGATTGAATTCTTTGAGCAGAGTTTTGTGTGTAATGAATTCTTGTATAATTTGAAGACTTCATGCCAGTCAACAGCAGATAAAGAGCAAGCAGTGGGACCACTGGTAGAAATTTTCAGTTAATTCTGGCATTAGTGATAATCCTACAGTAATATAGTAAAAATCCACATATGCTTAAAATAAAACAGTACTGCTGAACTTAACGCTAGCTCGATTTTTTTTCTGCACTGATAATTTGGTCTTTCAATTTCTTTTTATTTAACAGGAGCATGTATTGCTGAACTTAACGCTTGCTCGATTTTTTTCTGTACTAATAATTCTGTCTGTCAATTTCTTTTTATTTAACAGGAGCATAGGATGCGTCTTGGACAGAAAGCCATCTTTCATATTGAAGGTAACCAAAACTTTCAACTTTTTGTTAGATTGAGTTGGCTCATATTCAATATGAAATGACATGTTCTTATTGGGAATAAGAGAAATGTTTGTGAATCCATTTTTTCGAATGAATTTCGCAGTGGATGTTGATTAGTTACCTTAGGGTGGGTTCAAAATGAGATTCAGATTTATGTTAAGACAGATACGTGGTCATGGAAAGACTTGATTAAGTTTCGAAAGTGTCTTGGCTAATTGATTATGGATTAATCTTTGGTTAGATAAAACTAATTCCTGCATTATTTCATTGATATTGACCTATATTTATATTCTTGTGTTAGCTTTAACATAAGCTTACAATGTGGGTTGTCACTCGCTTGTAGTAAAGAGATTTTTATTCCATTGTACTTAACTATGTTATTGGGACTCTTCATTTTGTTTTCTTGAAATACCGGTATCTGGACACGAGTATGATGATATAAACATCTAAATGCTTGGAGGGAAAATAAAACTTAAAAAAAAGATGAAGATGCTTGTGCTAGATACGTACTCATGTCCGAGTAACATAGGTGCCTAAGCTTTGAAATTATGTGAGTTGGTTGTTTTCATAAAAATCATACGGGCTATTCTGAACCGATATCTTAAAGATATCAAGATGTCAATATTTGGCAGATCTAGTTAACTGCTAAGATATTCAAATTGATATGTTTTCCTTTGATCCGACATGTTTATTAAAAATGTTCTTTCATGTTTCCAGCTTTTGCTAATCAAATTCATTCATATGTTTTTTGGATTAACTGTGTAGCATTTGTTGCCAAGTTCATGAGCATTTACAAAGCCTTCTTGATTGCAACATTTGGCTGAAGAACGAACAAGCAAGTGTCTTTTTGATCTTTTATCGGTAGCAAGAATGCGCTGTTTTCCAGATTCCGATTATAAGTTTCCAGCACGCTTTGTGTAGTCGGCTTGTCATTTTGTTTTTGAATTATGCATGGTCTGTTAGGGGGTGATTATATCATGGAATTCAAGATTCCTGGTGGGAATTTTTTTTTTCTAGATTCAAATTCCCATGTTTGGATGGGAAATATTCCCAATAGGGAGTAATAATATATTCCAAACAGTAAAAAAAATTCTGTTTACCGGGAATGTTAATCCCTTTCTTTTCTTATGTATTCTTTTATTCCCTATTCTAAGGGCTAAAATACCCTCTTTTCCCGTGTGCCTCTACTTCTTCTCCCAAGCGTTCTTTGTTCTTGAACTCCACGGCACAGATTGAACTCCACGGTATGGGATCTGACTTTTATCTGTTTGGTTTTCAGATTTATTAGTTTATGTGTCTTGGGTGTTTATGTCTATATCTATGAAAGTTTTGATTTCTCTAAAACAATCTTTTTTAAGGAACACTCTATTATATATGTGGTGTTTCTTCTCCATTTCCAGATCTGATCTTATTTTTGCACCGACACGCGAAGTTTCTAGTCCTTCAAGTCAAAGCCTTTTTCGTTTCCTTCGTTGAAGTTTCCCGGAAACTCAACTGTTCCTGGAATTCCCTAAGAAAGTAAAGTGTCCTCTGTTTTTTAGTTTGGGATCATTCGGATTCTGGGTAAGTCTCCATCAAGGCTCTCTCAATTTGATTTTCAAGTGTTGAAAATGGGTTTGCTTCGAAATGCAAGTTGTTACACTGTTTCAGATTATATTTGCACTTTTTTTTATAGAATATATTTGCACTTTTGATCCTGCATTTTACTTCTCATAGCATGCATTCTGAGCTTGTTTTTGTGTGATTTCTGACCTTAAGTAGATAGAAAAGAGTTGGATTTATCATCTTGGTCAAATCTCTTAAATTAGCATTGGGTCTTTAATACAGTGATTTTTGCTTGTTTGATCAAATTGTGGTACTAATTTAGTCTTTGACGCTTGCTAAACCTTGCTTATGTTCTTATGGTGCATAAAGAGTTGAAGGAGGTATAATGATGCTCACTGAGATCAAATTTTTGTAACCTGGTAAACACTCGGAATGATGAGATATTTAGACTAAAATACGAGTGCTTCACTATGCAATACCCTTGCATCTTATTTGTGCCGTTGACTATTGAGACAAAGTCTCGGAAACTAACTCGATTCGGAACTCCAATTCTTAATTCTCTCCCTTGCTTGGAAAAACCCAACCCCGAGGCCTTGTTGTTCCTCCTCCAGGCCAAACCACACGATCTAAATGTTGGTTTGAACTAGAACGGCTAGGCTTTTTCCCGTAAAATGTCTCAGGTGGCACGACGGAAAGGCCGGAGTAGTTAGACCAGAATCCAATCTGTCGATACCCGGTTTTAACTACATTAATAACGTCATAGGAAGGATTTATCAGGGATCTGTCTTGATCAAACCGAATAGGGCCTATCAAACCGGTCATAGTAGTTATTCTTGATTGTCTCTTCAACTAATATTGTGACTATTGTCTCGTTAAGTGCGACTAAATATACTAAGAGTTTGTCACATTCTTTCGAGGACGTCTGCAGGGGAGAGGTACTCAGGTTTTTTTCTTCAATTCCTCAAATACTTCTTGATATTGGGGATCCACCGAAAGAGCTTAGAACAAAAAGCTTTAAATAGGAGTAAATATTTATCTGTCATTTCTGAGATGAATTTATTAAAGATCCTTTGCAGCTAGCTGCGGACTAATACTTTCATGGATATCAGAACAAAAGGGATTTGAACTTAAAAAAGCTTGAAGATCCTTCATTGTACAATTATGCCATCTTTTCTGATAACGTACTTGTAACATCTGTGGTCGTCAATTCTACAGTGCTGCATGCAAATGAGCCTGAGAAACATGTTTTCCATATTGTGACTGAGAATGTGGTTCATCTTAAATGCATCTGATATAATTTGTTTTTCCATGTCTTGCATCTGATAACATATCTGTCCATGGATTTGGTTGTGGCTTTTGTACCCAAATCATTATTCACCAAATAGTAAACTATTTCAAAATTTTATAATTAAATTGAAAAAAAAAACAATTTTCTTTAATAAATCTTTTGTCCAAGATTTGGTTCATACAGGTTGGGAGAATAGTTAGATCTTTTGACGAATCTACTTGAACGGAAGATAAAATAACCATATCTAACAAATAAAAGGTAAACATCCCAAGAAAAAAACAACGAAATCTACATTACAAAATGGCATAACTCATATTTGCCATTAGTTTCGTTTCCTGAGAGGAAGAAAACTTCAATAGCTTTAAGTCGTATTTGTTTTGTAAGCAAGATTTACACATGATCCATTGAGACAGTAGAAAAAGCAATGTTTTATTTTATTTAAGCATTGCAAAAAAATAATGGATTTTAAAACACAATGAGAAGACAACAATATTTTATTAAAATATTAACAAAGATAATGATGAATGATGGTGAAATATAAAATTATAGATAATATGATTTTTAGTGTTATATTTTCTTATTTATTTGAATTATGTTTTTGTAATATAAATTAATGAGATAAATAATAATGATAAAGTATGCATAATTAAGTATAAATATAAAAGATAAATAAATAAATTATTGTATATAGAAGATATAATAAATATTATATCTTAGATAACAAAAATAATTTATATCTTTTTATTATTATGAATATCTATGAAGAATTTTCACAATGTAAACATTTAGTTAGACGTTGATGTAAAATTTTAATATATTTTTACATAAATTATGTAAAATTTAATATTAATTAAAATTAAAATAATACATGATATATTTAAATACTCAAGTAATATATTATCAACAAATATAATTTTTATATAAATAATTTTTATTTAAATATTTAGAACTTCACTTGTTAAAAAACAAATATAGAATCAGGACAATTTGGTAAAATATATATTCCAGTAATCTTTTATTCTTCCAACCAAATATTGTAATCTTACATTCCTGCCAAATCAACCAAACACAGTAATGTAACATTCACAATAATCCTATTACTTGGTAATCTTTTATTCCCACTGGTAATCTTATATTCCGTGAATCAAACGCAGTCTTAGGAATTCTTGTCATGACTAGTGAACAAAACCATAAAATTCACTTGTAGCGGTCTTCTCTACTTAATGGTTTAAAAATTTATATTTTAGTTTAGTTGTTTTCTCTACTTGATATCAAATTTGAAAGTTTAACTAGATTAGAGGTTAAATTGGTGAGATTTTTTTATTATTGATGCAATCATCAGTTGGATCGATTGTTATGCAATTGGATTTTAGATTTTTTATTATGAATGAAGTTCTAAATTAAAAAAAATAGAAAACATTGAATAAAAAATGTATTTGCTTAAATGTTGTTATTGTAATATTTAATGTTGCTTAAATGTAATTAAAATAGAATACATATTGTTTCATAGTCACTGTTTTGCCAAAAGCCTTCATTACGGTCAATATGATTCAAATTAATTAACACATTGCAGTACTCTTATTCTAAATAAGCCATTGCCGGCATACAGTAAGGGATTTATGTAAAAGTTCAAACACTGATCAGTTGTCGGATGTTTGGATTCGAGTATGCGTGTTCTTCAGTGAAAATAACGAACGTTACCATTCTCCTAACTCATCTGTACATGAGTATCTTCCTAGGCAGAAGATAATTATTGGTCTTAGAGATCAAGTTGGTGGAGCTTTTCCCTGAAAAATATTTAAGTGAAATATTCAAAACATGTAAGAGAAGCTCAGCCGCAGCCTGAGTATCATAAACAACTAGTGGTTTACAATTTTTAAAAATGAAATCAGATATTTCAAGTTCACATCGACAAAGTCTAAATCACTTCAACAGATGAATCCAACAGCTTGATAACAAAAATTCAATAGGTAATACCTGAAAGCCATCGCTAATGGAAGGCAACACGGAGATCTGCAGGTTGGAAGGGAGAGTCGCTTGGAGAAGTGCTCCTTGAATCTCCACGCCATGCGCCCTGAACTTGAGCAGCAAACTGCAAGTTCCACAGCACATCCTCAATAGAAGGTCTCTCTGTCGGGTCCATTAGCAGACATCGGACACAAATTTCCATCATCGTTTTTAACGACTGATCAGAGCAAGATGTCTGAACTGCTGGATCAGCTATGCTTCTAGTTGCATCATCGGTTGCTACAACCGCTTGTAACTGCACAGGATTGTACGACAATGAATTAAGGATTCATTCGAGAGTTTGTTTGTACAGTCAACAAAGGTAACACAGTATTCTTTTTAACTGATGCAAGGAAGAACAGTTTTCCAAAGCCACTTCATAGTTTTCGAATAATGGCGGTCTAGTGAGGACATATTATTCATGATTTTGCATCAACCAATGTGAACCCTACTTCATCTAGAAACAAAAAAAAAAACGATGCAGAAAATACATAGAAGCCATCATATCATGGTAGTACAAATTCTCTCTGTTGCTTCAACTCTACATTTTTCTCGTATCTGTTACATATTCGGACGTAGATATGATGATATAACCCTCCAAATATATAGAAAAATATTTGAAAAGACTGAACATACTCGTGCCACACACATAAGTGTATCCGGAACTCACACTGAATCCAAGTAACATCGGAAATTTCTACTATCGGATTCAAACATATATTATTGTTGTGATGAGAAATGGAGGGAAAGGGAAATGATACAACTATTGTAACATCTCTAAAGACTATGATTTACCTGATTTTTGAGAATCTGAACTTCATTCCTGGATTTTGATGGCCTCCCCATAATCATTTCTAATAAAATCACTCCGAAATCATAGACATCGACCTTATCTTCATAATTTACCCTGTCAAGTAACAAAAAGACAGGCAACACTTTAGCCGAACTTCATACTTTAGATCCTCCTATGTTCGGATATGGGTATGTGTCCCGCAATAATATATATGTGTGTGTGTGTGCGTGCATTTTTGTGTTCATGTGTGTGTATTTGGAGGATCACACCACTATACCAGTCACCTATGTTCAAATGTATCACAGATGTTGGAGGTATATAATATCAAATTTAGAAAAAATATCTATTGTATGAAGAATAAGATTTCAGAATAATCAAAGAAATTACTTATTTTGCAAGTAATGTTATGTATTTCTTTGCATGAGTTTCACTTTTAAACAAATCATACAGATAAATCCAATTAAGATACTTGTTTATGAGAATCTGACAGGCTGTTTATATATTAAAAAGCTATGTTATTTGTACTCAAAAGAGTCTGACATGGATATGTATTTAAAGGGACTTTGGAGGATCATACTCAAACCCATCTTATATATGCATTTAACACGATACTTTGAAAAATGAAAAACCAGAGCATAAGCATCACAAACATCTTAGTTGAACAATCTCTGTTCATTACTGTATAATTTCGGTACCATAAAGGATGTCATTACGAACCTTGAACTGTTACTGAGATCCTTGGGTAGAGCAGATGTTCTGTCACCTACCTGCGAGAATGAGTAGTGAAAATATTATCTCACACCATCAATTTCAAGGAAGCAAAACGTCCGAAAACATCTGTTAAAATGGAAACAATGTTCTTTATTGTTCATACCTTCCCTGCACTCTCTGCTAACAAGGGCAGGTTGTATCGGCTAATCTTTGCTACAAGATTCTGGTCCATCAAAACATCGGTTATTTTCAGATTATTCGAGTAAACACCAGGCACGATCCCCGTGTGCAAAAATTGGATGCCCTTTGCAATCCCTATCGCAGCGGATATGCGTTGTGGCCATGTAAGTGATCTTTCAGAATGTCCTTCTGCCAACAAGAATGTCAGTTATGAAAAACCACCCGAGGTAATATTCAGGTTTTTTGGGGATGGAATGCCAGGAAAATAAAATTTTAACAAAGAGATTTAGAATTACCAGATATCCAGCTCCTTAGAGTTCCATTTGGTATGTATTCAAAGATGAGAAATATTCGGCTGACACTTGAGTCATCCAAGTAGCACTCAAAGCAGTGACCAAGAGCACTGGCTAAATGGCGGCATCTTAATTTCGAAAACATCTCTACATGGTGCATAAAGCTTTGAGTGCTGTGGCTTTTCTTCATTTTGAGGCATCTAATGGCCACGAAGGTGCCATCTCTCAGACGACCCCTATACAACTGAAATCGTAAAAGCAATGAGCTAAAACATTTTACAAAGAAGTTATCAAAAAAGGGATTTTATTAAGGAATTTTTCAGTTATTTTGGATTTTGGATAATAGGAAAATGAAAATATAACTTCATCAGGCTCATAGTTGGAGAAAACCATGGGAGCAAATGCACTGCTACAAGAAGAATGTACCAGGTGAAAATTATGCATATCACGTACCTGCCCTTGAGATCCTTCACCTATAAAAGCAGTAGTGTCGAAGTTGTTCGTGGCATCCTCAAGATCTTCTAGTGAAAAGGTTCGATAAGATGGAAGTCCGAGTGCTCCTAGCTTCATTGTTTGAGATATGTACCCTTCAAGTAGCCGCAAATCATATTGTTAGATTGGAATCATTGTTGGTAACTACAAAAAGAGAGATCGAGAGAAGCCTTACTTGCATCGGATAGTAACTTCGATGTGTATGCAATAGATGCTTTCTCCGTAATCAGTCTTGTAGTTGGTTTATTGATCGTCTTATTTGCACTCAATCTCTTAACAAGCATGAATATGAGACCCATAAGTACTATTCCACCAATGATTCCTCCGGTTATCCCAAATGCAAGAGAGACTTTCGAAAGTTTGGACTTCTTACGCTGAGGTAAGATTCCCACAGCGAAGGCTTCATTTCGACAGAAGGTAACTGGATGTTGGTTTTCAGTTCCAGTTGTGATGCAGTTTCGCCTATAAAGGAAAACTGCGTCTTTAGAATCTGAAAGACAGCTGGGCAAGTGTCCAGTCAAAAGATTCGAGGACAAATCCACAAACTCAAGTTCTGCATTGCAAGAAGTATTTTCGAAGAGCTTCCCGGTGAGTTTGTTGTCTGATATATTCAAGTAAGTAATGGAAGGGAGGGATAACAATGACAGCGGAAATGGCCCAATAAATCGATTGAATGACAGGTCTAGCCATTGAAGTTGGTAAAACGAGCTCAGTTCAGACGGAATGCCGGATCTAAACCTGTTCTTTCCCAGTACAAGGTGGATCAACTTGTTGCCTAGCCGAGGAAACCGAGGTCCAAATGCATTATCTTCGAGATCAAGCTCTTGAAGATTTGTCAAACCGCTAAAATCAGGCAATTCTCCTTGGAAGTGATTATGTGAAAGTGCAAGAACTCTGAGATTCTCCAACATGCTAAAAGAACCAGGCAAAGATCCATTAAACAAATTCTTCCTCAAACTCAGAACAGTCAAAACCGGAAATGAACCTAGCCATTCAGGCAGCTGACCGGTAAACATGTTTTCATCAAGTATGAGCGTCTGAAGGCTGGTTATAGATGAAAGCTCATTAGGGATGGTTCCGTATAGTAAATTTGAAGTTATATTAAGTATCTCTAATGACGACAAACGTGAAATTTTACCAGGCAACGGCCCCCATAAACCAAGAGAAACCAATGTGAGTACTCTCAAATCAGGAAGCTTAACAAGTGTTGTGACAAAGGAATCCATGGAAAAACTTCTAGGTAATGAAGGGACCCCTTTATTTCCAATTATATGCAACTGAGTTATGCTTTCTTCATAGCACACAACGGTTACTTTAGCCGTAGGTTCAGCATTGCAAAAGTCGACAGAGCTATTCCAGCTACTCAGAAAATCAGGATAATTCAAAAGCAACTTAAGTCTTAAAAGGGTATGAGTCTGGGAGGATTGTAGTTGCTCTGATTGATTGATTAAGAGTAAAATTACACCGAGAAATACAAACGCCTGATGCTTGAATCCTCTAGCCATTGGAAGCATATATCGAACCAACATTAAAGGAAAAGCACTGAGCATTCAAGGACTAGAAAATGAGCATAAGTTGTAGTTTGTAAATTATCAATCACTGAAGCTCACATGGACGAAGCTCTGCAAACATTACCATAATCATAACATTTGGAAAATGAAACAAACTCAAATGGATACAAAAAAGAACCGGGATTTGAAGTATAGCATAGAATTATCTTTTAAGTTAAGATACTCAGAAGTAAACAATTCAAACAAAATCTGGTAATGTAGTGTTTAAAGTATTATTGCTACCTCTTGAGAGAGAAGATTGAACAGAATCCAGCTCAACTGGTGGTGGTGCCCTGCAAAACCAGAATCTCTTTCTTCTTAAAACTCCTCAAAAGGTAGATGAAGACAAGTTTGGACCAGAAATTGCTTGCTGGAGAGAGTACTTGAGAGTTTTAAACTATTCACAAAGACCAACTTAAGAATAAATAATTATGACTTCAAAATGAAGAAAGTCCAAAGCCAAAACCCCCTAAAAGAACATAACTTCTCCAAGTAACTTAAACCAAATTCAGCTTATGGAGTTTCACTTGCATTTCACACTTCACCAGTTCAAGCAAAGAAACTAAACCTGTGTCAATTTCAGCCAAAGACAGGTAAGTAACACGGACTCAAACAAACTTTGTAAACAGACAAATATTTCACACAAAACCTAACCTGTAAATCCCAGGAACAGACATTTCAAGTTTTATTTTTCAATGAAAAAAAAACTTGGGGATTTTCACAAACAAGTTCCTTACTCTTTCAATAAACCTTTTCTTTTTTTTACCTCAAAGGGTCTAAAGAGAAGCCATAGCTGAACAAAAAAAAACTTGGGAACTTTCACAAACAAGTTCCATACTCTTTCAATAAACCTTTTTTTTTTACCTCAAAGGGTCTAAAGAGAAGCCATAGCTGCACTCATAAAAAGCAAAGGGAGGGGGGGCAATCCTCTGTACCCTTTATTCCCCATTACTCAGAATTGCCATACAAACCTAAAGAGAAGCCATAGCTGCACTCATAAAAAGCTAAAGGGAGGGGGGAGGCAATCCTCTGTACCCTTTATTCCCCATTACTCAGAATTGCCATACAAACAAGTTCTAGAGTTAATCAGAGTTCAGATGATAATAATTAAACTACTTGAAAAGTTCTTTTATATAATTAATGTCTTAAACAAGAACATGTTAATGAAGATTAGCAACATGCAAATGTTAATTGTAGGGTTTGGGTGTCGCTGTCAGGGTCTAGTGACATTTGGCTTTCTGTGGGGCCCTGTCGTGTCCTGTCAGTCATATACTCGAAGCCATCGACCCCACTTTTCGATGTTGCAGTCTGTTAACTTTGGCGCCTTTCCTTTTCATTTTTCTGCTTCATTTTGTTTTCTTCTCTGTCTCTCTCTCTGCAGCTTCGCCATTGCAGCTTGGCATTGTCGGTAGTTAAATTCCACATCTTTATGGGTTAGGCAGGATCAAATTATATATTTAATATTGAATCAGAAAATTAAATTTAAAAAAAACTGACCAATTTTAACATTCATTTGAGTCTTTTTTTTTAGTTTAGGATTCTGTCTGTGAATCAAATAAGGAATCAGTGGACCTCGAAGATGGAGCAAATAGTGCAGATGTTTTAGCAAAGACATGTGTAGGCTTCAAGTTGAAGACAAAAACAATGTGATTTTGGGGAAACTCTTAACAAACTCAATAAATTTACAGTCAAACTCTATTATTAATGGGTATTGGACTGAGGGTAAGCTTTATATTTACTTCAAATCATCTTTATCAAATCTCTCTCTATACATATATTAGCATCATATTTGAATGATTCTGGGCAACCATCAAATAAATAAATGGTTTCATACTCATATTTATAATAGTTTTGATCTATATTTAATATATTTTTACTTATAAATATGGCATGAATATAGGGAGTATGAAATTATACTTGATTTATTGTCTTGAAACTCAATGAGGCAACTTCCCCTGTAGTGCTAGCCAGACTGTCCCTCACTACTTTGTGCGTTCATTTATTAAAGCATATAGTTTTCAGTGAATTTTACAGAGAAACTTTACAAATAAATATGTTGAAATCTCAAACCAACTTCCAAGTTGATGTGAGTAGAAACTCTTACATTTTATAATTTAAAATAAAATAAAATTATTTTTTAAAAAAGACAAGCATATTTATTATAATAAAAAAAATAAAGAACTACATGTAAACTTTAAATAAACTGTTTTTATTCAAATATGCAAAAATAGAGAATATTTATAATAATCCACGTACTTAGAGGGTGACAATAGGAACTTAACAGCGAAGAGCAGCGGATTAATAATTTAGGGGCACTTTTTAAAAGGAATCCAATCCAATAAAAGATATAAAGTTATTTCTTTTAGGGAAATAATATAAAAAGCCCACCATAGATTTGGCTGATGTAAAAGCTTGTGGGGATTCCTCCCATCAATAATGTCCTTCGCATTTCACTTTCATTGCTCAATTATTTTCCTAGAAATAAATTCAAAGATTTTGATGGGAAATTGGATGTTCTTTGCCGTCAAAATTACCTATTTAAACAATTAATTATTATTCAATTTTTATTTTGATCATTCAATTATTATTATTATTATTAAAATTATACCTAACGTTATATTTTAATTATTATCGATAAATAATTAACAGTGAGAGTATATAATACTTTTTATTATTTTTAAATTTTAATATGACATTATCTTATAATAATATATCGATATCACTATTAATTTTTTAATGATAAATTATCTTACCATACATCAATATCATCATTACTATTTGATTATGTTTTTAATATATTGAGAATTCAAAATACGAATCAAATAATAATATATCTTCAAGAATAAACTAAAAAAGAAAAAAAAAACTCATTTTTATTTTTTCTATTGATAAAGATTTTATCTCTACAATTTCAGAACATTTTCTTTTTCGTTTCAATTTCTCTTACATGGATTTTTTTTTTCACCATGGGAGAGACTTCAACAGAATCTATCAATTCGATTCCCAGATGCCGGAAAAGCGGCTCGTCGTCTAGCTCCCATCATCAATTTGCAGTCAGATTACGGAGTGAACTGTTTAGTCCCATCTGTTCTACCATTTACATGTTCTCCAGATGCCTGCACAAGAAAAGAAATCTTACGTTTCATCTCCGCAAACAGTAATTATAATATGAACACCCAACTACAATTCTTGACACTATCTTTCATTTCTAAATCCACTCAAGGCCTAAAAGCATAAAAAAAAATAGACACCGACGGAACTTGAACAGATTAACGAAATATACTATTAACCAGATTTGGGATTTCAATCAGTGTAACGAGTCTTACATTTAGCAGACGCCCCATTCTAAGTTGTTGAGCAGCAGCTTCAAATGCAATAACATTTTGCAATGAATGTCTGATGATGTCAACAACATCAACGAGATATCGCTCCACGTAAGGGTGTTTAGATTTTAACAATTGACGTAACTTGCTAGCTGTTACAGGCATCTGATTGGCTTTTAGCAGTAAGAGTGTAAAACCAAATAAGAACTCTAGTAAAAAAAAGGAATGAATATAATGGAAACTGAAAAAAACTTGAAGTTTATACCAATTTCAAGAAGTACTTTATTTGGCAAAATGTAACCAGTGCTTTCATCCTCAACACGAGCGATATAGTCTCGCCATCTACAAAGCGCCTGTAAGCCATTTAAGTGAGACATATAAGCGAAAGATGGGGATATCATCAATCTATAAAATCTTGACAGTACCGCTTCTGCACATCAAATATGTGTATCAAAATTGATATTGAACATTTCTTGTGGTTTATTAACTATTGACGAGTTATTGTAGAAGTAAATTAAATGTCAATTAAATATGAAAACAACAAAAACTTACAGCAACAATTGATAGCTGTCTAGCATTGAAACCAGCCCCCTGCAACCTATATAAAATAGCAGAATAAATACAAAGATTCAGCTTGAGTTTGCATCAGCAATGAAAATCAGACTGGCTAGTTATTTCTATCTGGTCCAGTACATAACCAAGAACCAAGGAAACCATGAACCGGCATAAAACCAGGGACGGACGTAGGAATTCATGATAGGGGGTGCAAACTTAAGAAGTTATATTAAAAATTTTAGGGGGTGTAAAATTAGATAATCAATAAAAAATACAAAGAAAAAAACCTAAAATATAAGAGAATTTAAATTTTCTAGGTGGTGCGACCGCACCCCCTTGGTCCATCCCTGCATAAAGCCAGTTCAACTGGAAAATCTGACTTTTGCAATTTCTTTTATTTTTATTAAATTCTTTTTGTGACAACATTTGAAATTTACCTCTGTTCTTCATACCAAACCATTAAGCCAAATGCTAATGTATAATAACTATCTACTAGTAATACTTATTTAATATCAAAATAATAAATTTAACATTTTAATTGCATCATCCGGTTGAACCGAAGACTAGAGGGTCACGTCGGTTTTACCTCTGCCCAGGTTTTTATTCATTGGTTTACATAAGACAATTAAACATTCAAGCAACCATGTATTGTGTGATCTGAGCAAGTAACAAACCCATATATGTTGAGATATGAATTTGGCGTCAGCAGCTCTTTCTCATACAGTTGCATGCATACATCAGAACTTCGCTTGTAGACCTGCTAGCAAGAAATTAGCTAGCAAGATAAGTCCAAATCAATAGCAAAACGCAACAAAGTCCGCAAAATTCATACATCCATGTAAGCATTTTTGAAAAGGTGAAAAACAAAGCTCCAAAGTGCGAAAAAGAAAGCAATTTTTAAAAAAGAACAACAAAAAAATATGTTTTAGGTAATATTTTGAAGTTTGAACAAAATAGAATGTAAGAAGCCAGAAAATTGGAAAGGAACAAAACCTCTGTTAGAGTGGTGTAAGTACTGGATAAAGATGTCTCTGATATGGTATCTTCATTTTTTCAAGTTGCTCCATGTATTTGAATGATCCTTTGAGACTATGTTTGCTCGGACTCTTCATTCTTCTTGAAGCACTTATGTCCACAAAGATATGGGATATGACCTCCAAGAATCCACCAAATACATGGAAAATTTAGGAAAGTCTAACCATATCCGTGTCAAGTGTTGGACTCAAGTGCCAGATATGGGTACTTCAAGAAAATTGAAGAGTCGGAAACATAGGACAAAACTCTTACAATGTGATTAACATTAAGACTATTGGAACCTCTTAGTTTCTCTCTTCTAGATGGGGAATTCTATATGGAATGCCAAGGTCAATTTAGAAAATGCTATGAACTATGATTTATAGTATCGTACCTCTACCAAAGGAGCATCAATATGTTCAGGTTCCTTGGGCATCGAGAGCAATTTGATCCTCATTAAATCATAAACATATAGCAAATAATGTGTATCTTCTCTAGCATATCTGTCATAAAAATAATAATGATATAAAGAAACAATTAGTTCATATGAAATTTTTCAATAGAGACAACAGGTGAACCTAAAAATGACACAAAGTTTGTCCAGGAAAGAATAAACATGTCACAGTTTGCAGGAAAAAATTAAAGTCGTGTCACAATTGGCATAAAATTGCAAACCTAAAAGAGACAACTTAACAGGTGAACCTAAAAATGAACCAAAGTTTGTCATCTATGCTAGAATTTCAAAATCAGTAGATGAGACAATTGCTTTTATTTTCTCTCTTGCTAGAAAACAAAGTGATCAACAGCAATCAATCATTAACCTTAACGACAGTGCAAATGCAGCAGTTAGACATTATTAATATGAGAGAGATAACTGAAGGGTGAAACAGAGCTAAAAAAACGTTACCTAAGCATTTCACTAGGAAGAGGACGCAATCTCCAATCTGCATTCTGGTACCTACAAAGAGATGACTAACAAGCTTAATGAAGATGTAGCAAATTACCACCAAAGAGAAGTGATAGTGTAAAGAAGAAGAAGAAGATCAAACAATAAAAGAAAACCTACTCTTTGTTGGCAGTAACTCCACAATAGTGTTGCAGAAGATGCTCTAAACTATTTGAGAAGTGATAGTGTAAAGAAGAAGAAGAAGATCAAACAAATCTAAAAGAAAACATACTCTTTGTTGGCAGTAACTCCACAATAGTGTTGCAGAAGATGCTCTAAACTATTTCTTTCCATTTTCAAGACCCTCGAGGCCTGAGAAACATGAAACAGAACAAGTCAACATTATGGTAAGAGTCCAACAAAAATTGTAACTTCAAATTCAAAACATTCTATCTTTATTCTCTCATTGAACTAAAAACTAAGCCTAATATTTTCCAATCAAGACAATGACACTTAAGGTAAGTAGGCTCTAAGGAATCTGCACTAGGAAGTCGCATTTCCAAGTCTGCAACATATTAACTTCAATAAATTCCATTGAGATTAGCATCCTTTAAGTTAGTTTAATCATCAAAACCACAAGTACGGAGTAGTCAAATATAGTCTTAGATACCAGTTTTCTTTCCGCTAATTTACTCTCATGTCTAACAAAGAATTTCATAGTTAACAGGTGCTACACAGACTTAAATTCTTAAAGATACAGACAACCAAGAATTTAACAGAAATTCTCAAATAAAATCTTCAAGCTCATAGAAGTAGAGGGTATAAAACCTGTCCAGTATCAAAGAGATTGCACAAGTATATGCCAAAGTCCCGTTGAAGCCACAAGATATCCCTGTCTGCTCCATGCATAACCTATGTGAACTAAGGATATCAAACAATGCAGTAGGCCAATAAAAAAAATTTGCAGCCAGCAAAGAAACCAACCTTTTTTTTTGCGGGATCTTTGAATATTTCCCTAAGATATGGACCGATATGAATTCGAAGCTTCAAAGCATCTACAACAAAATCCTCGGTTCTGGTAGAAATTTGCATCAAGCAAGTCAATCCTTGGAAAGATCGATATTGATTATGCTCCAAATCAACCTGAGAATAATTACATTGAAATTAGATTCATGAAAAGAGGTAACATCTTATGAGAATAAAGAAAATAAACCAATGTTTGGTGCACACAAGGTTCATTCAAACAGGTATCGCTTATAACAGAGATCCATACAGCATTCTTCAGACTAGGGTCACCAGGGAAAGACTTCATGCGATATCTTGGCATGCAGTTATAGAGGAACAAATCACATAAAAGGCATATTAAAATTAATCATACTCTTACCGCAAACTCATGCACGCTGCGTAATTTAGCTGCTAACTCTTTCAAATCTTTTACTTCCTCAACCAGCTTGAATGGGGTAGACTCAATTGATGGGGGTATTATGGGCTCAATATCTGCTATATCTTTATCCACAAAATCCATAACAGATTCTTTTTCCTGTAAAAGAAGAGCAAATAAAATATATTTAAAAAAAGCTCTGTTAATTTGCAAGCAAAAGAAAAAAAAAGAGGATGAAAGATAAGCAGCCAAAAATTTTTGGCCAAAAGAAACAGCCAATTATTTACAAACTATTGTTGAACACAGTGGGATGTATGTGAACTACAGATATACAACAAGAAGTAGAAAAGGGAATATTTTGTCACATCCATATCTAGATTTTGTTACCAAGGTAGCTATTAAGAACATGATTTAAAAACAACTGCGACTTTCCCATCATCTAGTTACTGCATCTAAAATAAACATTTGCATCAATAAAGAAAATAAGAAAAATGAACTTAAGTAAAAGAACGGTTTCGACAAATCAATGAACATCACAAACACTATCACCTCAGTGGTCTATTTTACCAAAAATCTTTTTCATTCTTTTTCAACCATGCAAGGTTCCTTAACTTCAGAGATATGAAAACGTTCAAATAAATATTTTAATAATTCTTGCTACTTTCAAGAAATTCATGCCCTAGCAAATCATACAACCCATCGCTCAAAATCTAATAAAATCACCAAATCTATCTCCCAGCAATACCAATAAAAGCATTTCAAAACGGAATCAGAAATATTAAAGAAAGCATATACAAAACAACGATAACATGCAAATTGACTAACCTCAACAAAAGTGAACAAAGTTAACAAAAGAAATAACATATATCAAACAAGAGAAAACCGACCATTGGATGAACAAAACGCTGCCCATCCTCAGTCTTCTGCAACCAAACATGTACAAAAGGCTCATTCGAATTGTTCACAAGAATATTATACTCTTCCTGCGGCTTCCTTATCGAAGGTATATGGAATGGAACTTTCGCTTTCCCCGTCGTCACCGCTGCCAACGCCCCTTTCTTCACCTTCACTCCCGAATAAGAACTCGAATTCCAACCTTCCATCCCACTCGGTGACTCACAAACTGAGTCTCTTGTTAAACCACCATCCCCTTTCTTTTTTTTATTACCCTGAACCAATTGAAACCCGTTATTGCTCGGATCCGACCCATCAACGCAACCCATTTCCTCTTCTTTCTCTCGAATCTTTTGAAATTCGTCGACGGAAACGTTGAATTGTTCCAAGATTCCGTCGTTCATACCAGTGAGCCAACGATAAGCTTCATCGTCGGCTATCCTGTCAATGTTGTTAGGAAAATTGATCGAATTGTTGGGGCCCGAGTTTTTAGACGACGAGCCAATGATTTGCAGCAAAGAATCCGATGTCTTATCGATTTGATTGATGGGGAGTCTGAAATTGTCGAAGTTGTTAAAGAAATTAAATTCTTGATTGGAAGGGAGGGTTCGCGAAGAGGAAGAGAGAGGACCTGGAACTAGGGTTTTAATATATTGGGCATTTTTTGAATGATCAGATCGGGCTTCCATTGCTATGGGATCGTTGTCATTTTTCATGGTTTTAGGGTTTTAGGTGAAGAAGGGTTAGGATTTAAGGAATTTTTTGCTGCTTATTTCATTGAAGACGACGAGGAAAGAAAAAAAACTAAAAGAGGAAAGAAAGTATTTTTATCAAATATTTAGTAAATAAAAACATTTGTTTTTAAAAGAAAAATGTTTATTTTAAGCTATGTTATTAAAATCGGACCGGATCGGCCGGTTCGATCAGTTGAACCGTGAACCGGTGGCCTATCTCGTCCGGTTAACTCCCAAAATCGGATTAACACAGAATCGGTAAAGAACCGGAAGAATCGACTGAAAATTGAAAAAATCGAGGTGAACCGGCTGAAAACCGACAAAACCGGTTTGAACCGCCGATTCACTTTTTTCTTTAAAAAAAATTAAACCAAACGACATCGTTTGTTCAACGAGCCGAGTCAAATTCGAGTATTGCTGAGCTCGACTCGAACTCGAAAACTTTAAAAGTAAGCTCAACTCGACTCAAAAACTCACGAGCTAAAAATTATCAACTCGAAATATAATATTAAAACTTGAAATCGAAAATGCTCAAACTCAAAAAAAAAATTAGAAGTTCGATTGAAGCCTAAAATTTTAGCTCAATTGAAGCCTAAAATTTGAGCTAAATTGAAGCGAAAGAATAGTTCGCTTTGTGCTCACCAAAAGACTCCATGATTTTGAATGTCAAATTACCTCTATTATTTATAGCAGTAAGTTGGGATGTTCTTCTATGTTTCTTAGTCATGTGAGATTTTTTTTTAAAACAATTAAACCAAATGACATCATTTGTTATGATTTTTTTAAGCCTCAATTTTATTTTTTTATTATAGTTATATAATTATATTTATTATTTAATATGTTTTACCTTAAATATTATGTTGTAATTGATTTGAATCATTTTGTTTCACTTAATTTTATGATTTTTCATTTATACATGTTATGACTTGTGATATTTTTATACCTTTTAATATTGTAAACTTAAAAAAGGTATTACATATATATTAATATTACTTTGATATATATAAATAAAAAAATATTATTTAATATAAAATCCGGTTCAACTGAACCCGGTTAAACCAGTGAACCAGTACCTTCACCGGTTCAATGTCAGGTCCGGTTTTGAAAAAATTGATTTTAAGAGGAAATGTTCTTTAATATTATCGTTAGTTTAATTTTAGTCTCTAATATTATTGATTCATTTGATTTTAGTCTTTCGGTCGTTAATTCTCATTTAATTTTAGTCTCTCAATCATATTAGAAACTTAAAAAAAGAGATTTAAACAAAAGGGGTTAACGAAAAATTAATATCAGAGATATTTAAACCACACATATCGATAATGTAAGAGATCATTTAACCTTGATTTTTAAAGTTGTGACTAAAGTCGGTCAGCCCTAAACAAAAACAACTATTCTTATAGTTTAGCCTTATTTTAAATATAAAATATTTTATTTTGAAAAAAAACGTTAAACAATGTATTAATATAATTTCAATATATTAACTTATTTTTTAACGAATTCTACCCACAATATATAAAACATAAACATATAAAATAAAACGATTAATCATCTACCATTGGCAATGATAATTTCTCATTTATTTGTGTTACTTTTGTTTTCTTTTTCTTTCATTGAAAAAGTTAGTTTAATATTAATAATCACACTAATAATATTTAACGGAAAAAATTATTACAACGTAAAATTCAAATATATTATTATAGTTAAAAAAATTTATCTATATTTTTTTCAAATCTGTTAAGTCAATCGAATTGATGAAATAGCTAAGAAGATGTGAATTGACAAATAAAATTTTTGGTGAAGTTTAAAGATAAAATATAAAAATGAACACAATAATTTAGAGTGATTCGACTTTATAAACCAAAGTTCACATCCATACCTTAACTATCCACACTAAGGATTTTATAAATTCATTAATTTGTAGCTACATTTGAAGATAAAGTGTAACCTTACAACTCCCTCAAGAATTATACAATAAATTCTTGAGACATTCTCTCAGAGAAATTTACAATTTACGAACTTATAAAAACTCTCACTATGAAAGTTTTTGCACAATTCAATAACAAATACAAAACACTTGAGAAATAAATACAAATGAGTACAAAAAGTGTTATTTGAAAGCAAAAGGAATTGAACAATGTTGATTTAATTTTGGCTCAAATTTATTGTTTTTGACTTTCTCTTTTATCTCTTGTCTTCACATATGATTTTGAATATTGTTTCTATAATTCTATATTAATTTTAACCGTTTGAGTTGTTGTGAGAGAAAATAGAGCAGTTGGGAGGTAGTTTCCCGCAATAAATGTTGTCCAGAAATTTGTAGTATATGTACTCGGCCTTTGAGTATCAATACTCTCTGCATTAAATATAAAATATAGTCGTTGGGGAAATGTAGTATCGATACTGATATAATAAGTATCAATACTACTATAATAAGTAATATCGATACTTGTACTAATATCGGTACCAAATGAGTATATTGGAATTTAACAATTTCAAAAACAAAAGGGTCGAATCGGTACTAACATGTGGAGTATCGATACTACTATGAAAAGTAGTATGGTACTAAAATAGTATCGATACCAAATGAGCATTCTGTTTTGTCAAACCTACAAGCAGTATCAGTATTCCTTAGCAGTATTGATATTATTGCATAATTTTGGGCTTCAGCATCGATAATTGTATCAATACTTAATGAACAATATCTATATTGTTCTGTAATATCGGTACTACTATATCTAAAAATGTATTTTTGACTCGATGAAGTTTAAAACTCTTAATAAAATTTAGTTCAAAATATTACAGTATAAGAATCAAATTTTCAATTGAGTGATCAGTAAAATAGTGTTTTTAACCTCAAAACAATTTATATTTAAATGACCAAATCAAATATAATTTTAAAATTTGTTAAAAATTATTTAACATTTTTTTTATATCAAATATCAAAGTATGTTCAACAAAATCATTGAATGAAACAAAGTTGTAAAACAAGAGATTATTTCATTAACAACATTATACGAAGTAATGTAATAATTAAACAAATACTATAACATAATATTATATATTATATTATTCTGTTTATTTTTTAATTTATGAAGAGTGTGATTAGTGGAAAAATGATTTTGATCAATATTTTCTAAGAGATATGAAAATATAAGTAAAATAGTGGAAATGATGATTTTTCTCAGTTGTGACGATGGATATTATAACTATATTTAGTGAATATCATCATGTCAAACATATGATCATCGTGACTACTTATAAGTTAGCAGATTTAGTTGAATTTCGTTAAATCTTGAATTTCGCTTTGATAAATCACATGTATCTATCAAATGTCTTATCTTATCTACGTACTGTGTAACATCTCAAATCAGGATCATGACTAAATTGCAAATTTTGAAAATTTTGTGCTCGATTTCAAAATAAGTTAAAAGTTCAAGGAATTTATAGAGAATTTTATTCTAGAGGATTGATTGGTAAATATGAAAGAGATGAAGAGTAAAGAGGTCATTTGGCAAGGAAATTTTTATTCTTTCCTTTTTAAGGGAGTAACACGTGGATGAGAGGAAGAAATATCCAAGCTTCCAGAGTTCTCTCTTTTCTTTCTTCTTCATACGTGGGAGCTCAAGGAAATGTGAGGTTTTTATTAGTTGATTATTATTTGAATTCTAAGTTGGTTTCGATTCTTTGAATAGTAAG